CTTAGTTTATTTTGCAATATTATACATTGTATTCTATTATTCAAAATCTTAACAGTTAGCGGTGTTCTAATATGAATATTCTCGTCCTTATTGATTTACATTGAGATAGATTTATTCACGCATTGACAGTGACAATGACATGCATTGAAATAAAAATTAAAGGATTAGAATTGACAAAACGAGAAGGTAAAATATATTTTTCAAAAGCATTTGTATACTGAATAATAATAATAAAATCAAATTGATGTGTGTGTGTGTGTGTGTGTTTATGCGCATGCGTGCGTGCATATTTTATATTTAATGATATTCCATCTACCTGTTAAGTCATTAAATGCAGCTTTCACTGCCGAGTTAAGACCCCGACTTGTCACCAGTAAGCCTTTTTAAAGGGTTAATTTTGAAACACTGAGTGGTATGGTGGCTGATTTGTGCCATACCTGTTTTTGCTCCGCGAGCTCGCCAAGCGAAAAGTTGAAAATTACAAGTTAAAATGGCTTGGCGCCATAATAAATAAAACTTCGTCCCGCGAGGGCGCGGAGAGAGATTTAAGAAAAGACGGCGGGGTCGAGGGACGAAAACACGCTCATTAGCGAGGACGCGGGGCAAACTTTAATAAATAAACTTCACCGCACGGCCCCGCTTATAAGCGAGATTTCGTTCCGCGACCACGCCAAGGGAAAAGTCGAGAATAAACAAGTTAAAATGGCGGGGACGCGGAGCAAAAACACGCTAATTACAGAGGGCGCGGGGCGAAGTTTAATATATAAAACTTCGCCCCGCGGGGGCGCGGACCGAGATTTAAGAAACTAAACGGCGGGTCGCGGGACGAAAACACGCTTTTTAAAATGGGCACGGGGCGAAGTTAAATTAATAAAACTTCGCCGTGAAGCCCCACTAATAAGCGTGTTTTCGTACCGCGACCCCACCACGTGAAAGTCGAAAATTAAAACGTTAAATTGGCGGGGGCGCGGAGCGTAAACACGCTAATAAGCGCCCCCGCTAAGATTTGTGTTTTCGCTCCGCGCCCCAGCCAATTTAACTTATTTTTTTTATTAAACTTCAACCCGCGTCCCCAATAATTAGATTGATTTCGCTCCGCGCCACCGACATTTTAACCTGTTAATTTTCTTCAAATTTATATGAGCAAACTTGATAAAAGACAACCCAAGAATGCTACAGACGAAGTTTTGTGATCCATTAGTTCTGTAGAAGAAGATGTCTAAAGGTTTTCCTATTTCTAACTCTGTTGACGCCTAAAAGGGGCCAATTGAAATGACATTAGCAAATTTTAGTGTAGTGTGACTGTCAAAAGGATGCTACAGACCAAATTTGAGGTCAATCTGCCCAGCGTATTCAGAGGAGAAGACGATTGTTGACGCATGACGCCGGAGCACCCCCTTTGACACTAATAGCTCACCTTGAACCTTTGGTTCTGGTGAGCTGATTACTACTATTAATGATAATAAAATGCTATGTTTATAAAAATATTTCATTTTTACCTCCCTTTTATTTACATCATCATTACTCACGCAGACATCCATCTTATACTTTGTAGAATGTATTAATCTACATTTATAAGGCAAGCAAAGTGATGCTACATTCTAAATATCGCTGCTCTTAATTGTGTGAGACATCCCGTCCCCATCCCTTGGTATATCCATTTTTTATAAATCAGTGAAATGATTTTGGTAAATTTTGCAGGGTTTCTTTAGGTAATGATACAATGCCAAATAACTATTAACATCTGGGCATTATAGTTTTTAAGAATGCATATATAAAACTATTTTCATATCTTAGTAACCCCTCAGGCAGAGCCAATATTGATCTCAACTTCTGTTCATGTCAACAAGACAATGACTCATGGAAAACATTTAAGTTTTAGCATCAAATAACATAACATTATTCATAATATCTTGGGCATATAAAAATGTTTTCTAATTTACTCCGTAAAACCTGTATAATTCAGTCTTTAAAAAAGCAATGGTCATGGGATAAATTTTCTGCAATATCTTATTTTGGTATGTCTTCGTTTGACCATATATTATATTGTAATGACTAATAAAAATTTTAATTTCTATCTATCGGTTCAAAATATACAGATCGGACATTTAATTTTGGACTTGATTAAAATAACTTTGACCTTGACATATGAAAGGCCAAAGCTGCGCTCTGCATATTTTCTCATTATGTATAATGTTTCTGCTAAGCATTTTCAATTTCCTCCACCGGTTCAAAGATACAGACCGGTCACGAAAAGTGCTTAAACAAATGGATGAACAATCAGGTGCCTAACAACAACGCTTATCTTTTTCGGCGAATAAAAAAGGCTACCAGCGGTTAAGAGCCTGATATGATGGCTGGCATGGCTTTATATCAGAAGTAAAGGCTAATCACGTATAACAGGTTAATATTTAAAACTAGAAAGTATTTGGTTAACACAAATGCCCCTATCCAAGATTATTGTCAATTGAATGGTTTACTTAAGGAAGTCGACAACATTTATGTAAATTTGTTATAATTTATGCTCTGAGGGATCACACTTTATGCAGATTTATATACTTCATAACAACGACTGCCAAGTGATGTGTGACAGCTGTAAAAAGTTGCCCGTACTTCACTTGAATGTTTTTATGTTTTTCTGGTCCTTTGGAATAATTGATTTCAGCAATATTAAGTGTTGAAAATTGTTGAAAAGTGTTGAGTACCGCTCAAGCAGGTGCTATGGGGTGTGAGCGATGTGGCACTTTTCGTCATGTACACACTCAATAACTAAAAATTGAATCTTCAATTTTCATTTTATTTCGTTTTAAGTATGCTTTTGAGGGATTATACCTTTTACCAATTTTACCCAGTTACTTAAATATTGACATATATAAACAAATATAGCCATGTTTGGAAACATGTTGAAGATATTGAAAAACTTAAAACCTTTTTAAAAATCGCAAAAAAGTCGGACATTCGGCATAGCAGATCTTTACTGATATGGGGGAATGTTTTTGTAGGTAGATACAAAGAATAAAAGGAGCACAAAAGAGGCTCCTTAAATGCATATTCCCCTTTGTTGGTACAATTGTACACATTCGGCGTCGAAGTGCAGCAGTGTTACAAGTTGGTATTACCGAGATTTTAAACTAAAAAAGCTAAACAAATATTATCTGAAACAACGGTATGTTTCAGGATAAAGGCATGTTCATAATATTGTAAAAAATGCTCCATAACATGCTCGTACAATTGAGTTTGTGAAAAAATTTGAAGTCGGAGAAGGTTTCCTCATCTCTCACCCACCATAGATTCCAGATCTAACCACATGTAACTTTATTTCTCTCACAAAACTAACAAAGCGCTTATCGATACAAGTTCCGACACAACCTTACCTTAGCCATAGTTCAGTGCCTCAGAGAACTGCACTCCATAAATGAATTCGCTTATTCAAATCTTCAAGATAATTTTTCTTTTTGACTTGAATGTTTTTGAGATATCTACATACAATACATTTTACATATCTTGTTACTCTCGTATATGTGTTTCACAACATTTTATAATTAAAAATTTATATATCTGTTAAATAACTAAATAAGTTTATTCATGAAAAATGTTCTTTATTAATTCATTATCTCTTATTGAAATGGGTGTTTGATACTTTGATACTTTATCACATTCAATTTTACAATCGTTAACCGTACGAGTACATTAAATTTCATTTTCAAAACAGATATCTAAGATTTCTTCTATGTTTACGTCAAGGAATCCAAAAAAAAAAAAAAAATTACTACTTCGTGATTCTAATGAATATGCAACAATACTCGTATATTTGTTTTAGAAGGAAATATTCACTTTAAATATATAGTTATTATTTTAATTTTATTCTAAGGTGATAATGATGACGAACGACGGCGATACTGTTAAGATAATTATTGTTGTTACCAATTTGTTGTTATTTCAGAAAAATACCGCACTCGACAAAATGTCGAAAACTGAGAACTGTTATTACAAGTTTCAGCTCAGATACCTTGTAAAAGAGTGTGCACAGCAAACATTTCGGCTCCTCATACAACAAAGCATACAGAAATCGAAAACCAATTTATCAAGTTTTCTCCAAGAACTTGAAAATAAGGTAACAGTATCATGCTTACATACAGAACATGTGATAACTGACGAGGACTTCGAGCTTATGTATCCTAAAAACGGACAACCTTCATTAGAAAATGCTGGCTTCACATTTCTATACATCTTAATGATTTCTTTTTTTTGCGACATACCTGGCTATGACCGCATTTGGGATAAAGGATCAAAGCCTGAGCCAAATGATTTATCTAGAGCGGCAAATATCGTTAGACTACGAGACCATATATTAAAGGTAAAAATAAACGACTTTATGAATGCATTGATGATTTAGATCATAAATAGAACGTAAATAAGAGAACAATTTCACAGCTTTAATTATACGATAACAATATGACTAAAAGCATTGGTTTTGCAAATATATGACTAACATATTTAATAGTTATTGGGTTGTTAAATCAATCTGTCACATTGCTTTTATTCTTCTTTTGGCATGATTAGTTGGAAGAAAATGAATTAACAAAAGATATCTTCGAAGAAAAGTGCAATGAATTGCATCAGGTAAGATCATATATAAGATGTTTTCAAAAAGTTTCGAAAATGCAATCTCCTTGTTGACATTTAAGAATTAATATTGAATATTGCAATGTATAATTCAGTTTATTTACATTTAATTTTATTAAAGTATCAACACGTTAAATGATTTCGAATCGTACCTTTGTTAGCAGTTATTACTTTTTTTTTAATCCGATAAATCAGTTTGGTTTTGGTCAGTGCATTGTTACGTCAAGTTAAGAAAAGATTATTTAAATAATTATAACCCGCAATTATTGTCTAAGCTAAATGTTATCCGTGTTAAAATGCAGTTGGATTTTAATCTTATACTGACTATCTGTTCTCTTTATTCCCATGATGTTAAGATATTCACACATTTTGGAACAGAAGACGTGTTCAAAGAAGTATCTGATCCATTCAAAATTGTTTCTTTTGATGAAGAAACAGAAAACACATTACATGAAGAATTCAGAAAATGGGAGGAAACGCAACAATATTTGGAAACAGGTTTGACATTTTACACAAGTTCTATTAATATTAGTTGGTATTTTAATTGATGCGTTTAATGTGTTTTATGTATAAGGTGTATTTTATCAATAAGCTCTATGTTTTTCAGGTTTAGACTTACACATTTACGAGTCAAAAACCCGAAGATTTAGACTATATTCTCTCCTTGTTGATGGCGGAACTAGAGTATTCAAACACATTTTTGATGACAAAATTCCTCCTGCAGATCTGCAAACTGTTCTTTCAAATCCTACAACAAAGGGAAAATTGTTATACCTTAGGACGAAAAAGGTTTTGATCGATTCACAGGAACAACTGTTGTATCCAAGCCAGGGATCTCCACAGTCAACGACATTTGATATTACACTCCTAGCAATTCTGCTCCGAAATATATGTGGCTTTAATCAATGTGACAAACGTTGGGATGATAAAAATCCTGTGGCTGCTGACATTTCAACAATAGCCGATATTGTAAGAATTCGTGAAGCCCGAAATGAGGTAATGCAATTTCTGTATTTAAATCTTATATACACTAAGTTAAAGCGACAAAATAACATATCACAATACAGAATTAAATTTCTTATGCACTTCTATGGAATTATAAATATCTATTCAGCTTAGGAATTATTGCTTGTATTATTTTTCAACCCGACTGGACTGAAACTAAACTCTCTGCTAGCTTAAATGCCTGTCAGTCGATGAAACTTCTGCAATGTGTAATAGCTGTAAGAAACAAGATATTGCATTTGTGTAAAATGCTATGCCACTGCATTAATACAACACTGAATAGTAATGTATGAACATATTTTTTGTTTCTATACAAATGGAGATTGCCATAATGCATAGATCACTGACCTATCTAATTCTTATTATTTGATTAGTTGTTAAATCTATTGTTATTCAAATTAAAGATCAGAGTAGGAATCTTTCAATGTAGTTGAGTCTAGTTGAATTTGGTGGTGAAGGTCATATTTCACATGGCCAAAATTCTATGACTGTACATCAAAGGACAACACAGTAAGACACTTGGTCAAAATATAGGACAGCTGATATCAAAGTTCACTTTACATCTTAATATGTGCAAATGGTTAAAATTTCATAGCTGTACATTAAAGGACAAAAAAGTAGGTCACATCATCAAAATCTAGGTCCCGTGACATCAAAGTTAAATTTTACAAATAACTAGAAATGTGTCCATAGGACACGGTTGTCCCCACCGCGCCACTCTTCTGTCAATAAATCTACATGCAAACCCAAAGGTGCATAAGTACACATGCTGACCAAAATTCTTGTAAAATTTCAGACCTAAGTCCAGGGAAATAACTCTTAAAATACTAAAATTATCCAGAAGAAAATAAAAATAAAGGTGCACAATTACACATGCTGATCAACATTCCTGTTAAGTTTCATGACTCTATGTCAAATACTTTTTGAGTTACATGCGACACAAGTTGAACATTGCAAAATTTTACTAAGTCAAGGGCACTAACTCTGAAAATAATTAAAATATCCAGGCGAAAATACCCAGGTGCACAACTACACATGCTGATCAACATTCCTGTAAAGTTTCATGACTCTAGCTTAAATACTTGTTGTGTTACGTGCGACACAAAAGAGAACGGATGGACGGACGGAAGGACGGATGGAAGGACGGACGGACAAGGGTAAATCTAAATGCCCGCCACTAAAGTGGGGGGCACAAAAATGTGCACATAGTCCAAATTTCATGGATGTACATCAAAGGACAAGAAAGTAGGTCACTGTCCCCTAAGGCAAGGCAAAATTTTGACCCAAGGGTTTAATTCAAACAATCTTGATACAGGTCCACCAAACAACATTTTATGTCAAATATCTAAATTGAGGCTTTCTCCTATTCAGATAACATTTGATTAAGTTTCTGTTTTTACTATGTGTACATAAGATAATCTATGCCCCCGGGCAGGGCAAATTTTGACACAGGGGCAAAATTTGAACAACTTTGGTAGAGGACCTATAAATGATATTATAAAGCAAACATCAAAGCTCTAAGTCTTGTACCTTTAGACAATAAGATCTTTTAATTTTTTTGCTATATATACATAGTGAAAATCAATGATCACCGGGGTGGGGCCAATTTTGACCACAGGGCTATAATGTGAACAATCATGCGAGAGGTTCACTACGCAATGTTTCATGCAAATTATCTTAACTTTAGTCTTTGTCAATTTAAAGAAGATGATTTTTTAAGTTTTTACTATATACATATAAGGAAAGCTATCGCCTCTGGGGCAGGGCAATTTTAACACTAGAGGCTTTATTTAAACAACTTTGATAGAAGACCAAAAGATGATATTATATACAAAATACCAAAGCTCTCAGCCTTGTACCGTCAGGCAAAAAAAAAGGTTTTAAATTTTTTGCATATGTACATTATAAGTGACTGAAAATCAGTGATCCCCGCGGCGGGGCCAATTTTGACCACAGGGCTATAATTTGAACAATCATACGAGAGGTTCACTACGCAATGTTTCATGAAAATTATCTAGCCTCTAGCCTTTGTCAATTTAGAGAAGATGTTTTTTAAAGTTTTTACTATATACATATAAGAAAATCCTATGACCCACGGGGCGGGGCTAATTTTGACATTAGACGCAAAATTTGAACAACTTTGGTAGAGTACCTATAGATGATATCATAAAACAAATATCAAAGCTCAAAGCCTTGTACCTTAAGACAATAAGATTTTTATTTTTTTACTATATGTAAATAGTGAAAATCAATGACCCCGGGGCGGAGCAAATTTTGATCACAGGGCTATAATTGTACAATCTTGGTAAAAGTTCACTACATAATGTTTCATGCAAAATCTCTAATCTCTAGCCTTTGTCAATTTAGAGAAGATGATGTTTTAAGTTTTCACTATATACATAAAGGGAAAACCTATGAACCCCGGGGCGGGGCTAATTTTGACGCTAGAGGCAACATTTGAACACATTTTGTAGAGTATCTATAGATGATATAATATACCAATTATCAAAGCTTTAAGCCTTGTACATTCAGACAAGAAGGTATTTTAGTGATTACTATAATTATGTACATATAGAAAAAATCAATGACACCCGGGGCGGGGCCAATTTTGACCCAGGGCTATAATTTAAAAATCTTGAAAGAGGCCTACCAGACAATGCCTTATGCAAAATATATTTGCTCTAGGCCTTGTGGGTTTTTAGAAAAATATTTTTTTAATTTATTCTTATAATTCCTTTTTTTGCCATGACAACCAGATTTCTGTATGGAATGAAATCCTTTGAACAACTTTGAAAGACTTTTACCCATGGATAAATCCTGCCAAGTTTGGTTGAAATTGGACAAGTGGTTTTTCACAAGAAGTTTGTTTAAATTCTCTATATAATCTATATAAAACACACATACATACATACAAACACACATATGAATCGCTATATGCCACCGCATCACAGACGCTGCGCTGGCATAAAAAGAGGTTATTTGTAAAATATTTAAGTTATCTTTGAATAGCTTTAAAGACTTTTGGTAAATCATATCCAGGAAAAATCTTGGTCTTTCCTGTAAAAAGCCTGATAATATAAGGATAGTGTTCGACACATAGCATTTTCTATATCCAGCAATTGCTTTTTTATTTTAATCCATCATGATACAAAGATGCTTAACGTCTGTCAGTTAGAGATGACTACAACACCAGCAACTGCATCTGTTAAATTTGGATGTACTTGTATAATCTTTTGGTTCCAGATCTCAAATTGGCCGTGAATAGTTTCCTATATGTCTTAAGAAACCAGCAACAAAAACAACATAAAAAACAATGTTTGTTCTAAATTTTCTAATAAGATAGACATGCAGTCATCTTGAACACTTCCGGGACTGGATGAAATATTTGCGATTTTATATGCTGTAAAAGTTTTAATGAAGCTAGAAGCTAGATTGACTTAAATTAACATTTGTAACAGATCTAGAAACCGAAGACCTATCGGCCAAAGTGATGCTCTCAAAAATAACCGGCGTTAAATTGGTTTCGTTGTTGTAAAACTCAGGGTTTCAAAGATATTGGTTGAAAAGCCAAACAGATAAGACATATTTATTTTTAAAAAAGGTATATAAGCATTATTATCATTAAGAAAACCTTCATGCATGACACATGCCAAAATGTATCAAAATATAAGTAGTCATGAAATATAGTTAAATTCAATTATGCTAAAAAGTACTATTTTATAGCAAGTTTAAAATCAGGCAGATTTTTAATATGAGTAATACTGGCTTGTAAATTGTTCCTCAGTGAATAGCTTACGAACAAAAATGATTTTAATCCAATACCTTTTTACAAAGTCGTGTGTTATAACAATAGAGAGCATATTGCGGAAAAGAGCTATAGCTTAAGTAGGTTGGGGCTAAGCCAGATTTGATTTCAAACATGACATAACATCATTTGTTCCACACGGTGTTACACAGGTAACCAATTTAGTATTTTGAAATGTTCTGAACCAATATTGGGTCAATTGCGCAGATTAATTATTAGCCGCATTTACTTGTCCTGTTTTGTTTGGAGCTTATTTTTCAAAACATGTGTTAACCCAAGATACCAGATTGAACATGTATAGTAAAATGACATTGTATCAAAGACCAATACTGTTTTAGTATGTTGGGTATAACAATCACTTTCTCTATAATGAAACTTTAACCTGACATTTGCCTTTTTAAGAATGCCTTGTGCCTTGACCTCAAGAGATAGATTTAGATCAAGAGTTGCAACTGAATTCTTAACAGCAAATTTGGGCTTTATAATTTTACCATTAGACCTGTAGGTTAGGATCATGTTTTAAATTAAACTTTGACCCAAAGAATAGACTCTGCCTTGTCAGGGTACAAATAAGTTTATTGTCATAAGATATAATGATTATAGCACTATTTCCTTTTGCATTTTTCTTCAAGTGTAACATAAAATGCATGCCTACATTTTTCTTTATCAGGTCATTTCGCATTTGTCACAAACAGGGAAACTTTCAAAAGAAGAATTCGAAAGACATTGGGATGGAATCGCAAAGGTAATTAATAGTATTTACATGGGATCTCTGAATTGTTCTCTTTTCCCATTCTATATATTATGACTTATGAAACAAGTCAAAACGGTGTCGGAACTTTGTTAAGACAAATATAACATGGAAACTTTTTTAAAGAGTGCCAAGAACGGAAGAATGATTATTTTGCACTCTTGGTTTGATTGCGCCTGATCACGTACGTTAATGGAAAGTGTTTTGTTAGACAAATAATGATTTTTCCTCCACTAAAATTTTTCATTTTATGCATAATTATCGATTGTATTGAAAAGTTATACCACGACTGTAAATTTGCTTTTCGTAAATGTTTACAAATAATGCTTGTAACTGGCGATTTCAATGGGAATACCAGAGCGAACTATGATTATATGTCTCGCCTGGTGATAGCCAATTAACCATTTGTATTGAATGGTGATTTCACAGTTTTCCCTATACGTCACTGCTATTTCGTAGCATGTTGCATCTACTTAGTAGCAGGAAACACAATAATCATTTGGAGACAAAAGCTCCCTTGAGTTTAAGGGAAATGACTCATCAAAAATGATTCAACCAAAAAAAACCTGTTAAATTTGAGCAAGTAATTAAGGAACTTATCAGTCCTGTTAAGTTTCATTCAAATTGCGTCGTTGGTAAAGAGAAGTAGTCCAGACAAACCTTGAAAACAAGAGCACCGCTTAACTTAAGTAATGTTTCGGAAACAAAATTGCTAACGAACGGACGGACAGACAGACGGATGGGCGCCACGGGGTATAACATAATATGCCTGAAATTCTTTTGGGCATATAATGAAAATAGATAAAGGTGCATAACCAGAGCTGCATAACTGGTACTGGTACTGCAATAATTTTGCAAGCACTGGTACAGATACTGAATTACTCTTACAAAATGGTGCAACTACTGGTACTATATTACTGTCTAATAAAGTGGTACTGCTACTGCAACTGCATAAACAGGCAGTACTTTCGATTTGATGAAAAATGTTATCGGTTTTTCTCTTTGTGTTAACTAGTAAAAAAGAGCAATATAAACATTACTTAATTGCTTCTTTTTTTAAAATTCCTTTATCAAGTAGTATTGTAAGCACCATAAAAAGTTGTTCTTTTCTTTGGTTTCTTTTCTCAGAGGTGTGAAAGGCAACAAAAAACTGTTTTGTTTTATATGAAAGATGATTTCATTGTTTTACAGTTGACTGGTTTACTAAACAATACGATATGACAAGTATGTTAAATCATTCAAATTGTAAAAATGTAATGTTAACTTTTAAAGTACATAATAATTCTATTTCTTTTTCTGAATGATGTTTGCATTTTTTAAAAGTACACATGCGAACTGGAAACACTTGTTTATGAAAATTGTATCATTAAATATGTAAATATTCATAATCTGTATTTTTGTTTGACAGTGTGTATTTATTTAAATGATGATGAATATATTAAAGTGCTGGTACTGATACTTAATTACTTCCTTAAAAAGTACTGGTACTGCAGTAGGTAGAGATTTAAACTCTAGAACTGGTACTGGTAATGGTACCGCATACAGTAGGATGAACGTTTCGGTTGTCAACAATAGCGTTTTTCGTGCGTCCGTGTTTCGTGTAACGTGCGTGCGTATATCGTGCAACGTGCGTTTGATGAAACGCTGCTCAAGCCTGCATCGTTTACAAGCGTTTAACCTTTATCGTTTTCCGTGTATCGTTTTTCGTTTAAAGTGCGTTTGAGAGCGTGCGTTTGCTATCGTTTAGCGTGCGTATGCGTCCGTTTATCGTTTTGTCCAGAACGTTTAGATAGCGTGCGTCTGCGTCTGTCATTAGTTTAGAACATAAAGTCTTAGCGAAATATTGGTAAACTTTATACGTTAGTCTTTGAAGTACTTTTTGTTCAAGTAAAATCTTTATTATAGATAACATAAATTTAAGGTTGTTAACTCTAACATTTCATCTAGTTTGTGACCCTTTGATGAAATATCATGAACATCGGACATCGACGCGCGTTATTCACACCGAATATTAGGAATTTGATTATATTTTACAGACTCCAGGGATTTAATTACTCTTCAATTGCAAAGTTACAATTATTTAAACATTCTGTGAAAAGTAGCAGACAGGGTGTAAGAAATTCTTTGCAGAGCTATCAACAAACGGGGAACGTAAATTTACTTAAAAGGTACAGTATGATTGTTTTCATTTGTTTTGAAAAGATATAGGCAACTTCATATGATTGTACAGTACAGTCTAAACTACTTGTTGTTTAGTAAATTTAGCTTGAGAACATTACAAAAGATTATGTCAATTAGCACATTATACACAGATAAAAGACTCCATAATATTCCCTAGACATTGTTTTCAGAGACACCTTTCTTATTTGTGAAGGGTATTTAACGGCCGGATTTATTGTTATTGTAAATGTGTGAAATTCAAAGGACCAATTTAACCTTTTACATAAAGATCAATTGATCAATAAAAAATAATAGATGTATAACAATCAAGACTATTTTAATTTACTAACTTTATTATTATATATTATGTATATATGTATATATGAAAATAATAGGCTAAATATTGCTGGTGAACGTTTTATTTTGCGTGCGTTTCAAAGCGTTTCGAGAAAGTGTATATCGTTTAACGTATATCGTTTATCGTTTTGCGTGCGTTTGCGTATTTCGTTTGGTATAGCATGCGTTCAACGTGCGTTCGTTTAGCGTGCAACGTGCGTGTGTTGTTTCCCGAGCGTGCGTTTTGCGTGTAAACTGAAACGTTCACCCTACCGTAACTTTGCAAGTATTGGTATCAGTATTTTACCCTTAGTACTGATGACAAAAACATTTAACTGGAAAATCTCAGCGAGATACACAACTAGGCTTGGTCCTGATCATTCCAGTAGTCTTGATGAAATTGCAACGGAAGTTTTATAAGAGGTAGTCTTGAAAATGTGTGACAAGCGACGGAGAATTGACCCCTTAATGTCGCCACTACATACAAATAATAGTGTTCAAACTCACGAGCAGGATAATTATTGTAAATAATCATTCAGACGAAAACATCATAAAAATATCTACTTATGCCTACCTTATTATTTCAAATGAAATTCATAGGGGCGTAAATAATTAAGTTTCAGTCTAATATGTTCTCTATTAAAATTTATTTAATAGCGAATATGTAAGTTGTTTAAACGTCTGAATGCTGTTTACCTAAACCCCTGTCCATTTAATTATGTGTTTCCACGAAAGGTTCTGTCAACAAACGTTTTGTGTTCGAAAATTTTGAGCATGTTTAATACTTTCCCGTGTACACCAAAAATTTTAAATGCACTGTTATACAGATATTTGACGATATTAATATTTGTAACAATGTCATTCAATATACCTGTTTCTTTAATTAAAGAATCTTTATATTGGTCAACATGATCATTATCCCAATTCAACTGGCGTGTTCTATTTATATTATTTAAAAACATACTTTTATTTTTATGAGCTGCAATATTAATTTGAATAGGTGCATGTGTAGAAAATGGAAATATATCATGTACAATAAAGTCATTTATTATAGGAAACAAATCATAAGATGCAATACCATAGTCTATAACACTTTTCCCAATATTTGATAAAAATGTTACTCGTCCGATATTTCTATCGTCGCCCATTTATTCCGGTCAGATTTACTTATTTGAAAACGAATATTCTATTTAGTATGACAAGTACGATTCAACTTTATCTTCAATTTTATGTATATATTGTACATTGCGTACATTGATGATATACATTTAACACAAAGTAGTATAGGCTTTATATAACGACTGAAAATGGAATAATATGAAGCAATTTCAAAACAACAGCATAATTTTAAACTTAATAATATATTCCTTCACAATACAGAATATTTTTTTTGCAGACCTTTCCACACAAAATTGCTAAACATTTTATTTAAAAGTGACCTAAACAAGTTGGTTATGCTATGTTCTCACCGCCGATCAGATCAACTCGATCGTCCCGATCACAATAAACCCCCGATGAAGCCCGACCAAGCTGGATAAAATGCACATTCACGACTCCTACACGACCTCAAGTCAACCCGACAATTCGACAAACAACCCGACTTCTACTCGATCACCATAACCTATACTTGATCAATACACGATTTCAACTAGTCTAACTGGCACTCTGCTCGATCGTTGCCAGATTTCCACCCGACCAGATCGTAATGATCGTAATAGAGTCGTGAATAGTCGTGAATAGAAGTCGAGATCATCGTGTACAGATCGGGTAAGAGATGTATACCCGACCAAACTAGATCGTTACACGATTTATTCTTGATCAACTAGATATTCTATTCGATCACTATATCATCGCTTCTCGACAGATGATCTACTCGATCGCTACTCGATTTTTTTTGACATTTAAAAAAAAATCGGATAGGAAGCCCGAGCCATGCCGACCAAGGTAGACCACTCCGACCATCCCCGATCACACATGCAGACCGAGCTAGACCGGTAACCGACAGCTTGATCGTGCTTGATCAAGTTGATCTGATCGGCGGTGACAACACAGCATTAACGAATAAGTTGCAGTGACTTTACAACTGTTATTATGTCAGCGAGTGTTATTTCAAACACTGGTTCTACAGTATGTGATATTCTCAATTCTTTCAGTATAATTCAATGATATTATAACACGAAAAATAATACCAAGTAATCGTAATGATTTAATTAATTAATTGTCACCTGATTTCTATTGATCTAATGTTACATTTTTAAAAACAAATTCATATTACATGTGTTTTCAAAGGTAAGTCTGAATCCTGAGATTATAGAAATCTCAAGCAAAATATCAAGTGAACAATTCAAATACTGTTTCGATCCATTTAACAGCATACTGTGAAATCTTATACTCTGCCATCGATATGTATACCTTTAATATTTTGTTGTTCTTATTCTAATGGCTAATAATTCGGCACAGACGATAAACATATATGGACTGATAGGGTCTCAATGACGACAATCGCGCCCAATTTAAAAAAATGAATGGATTTGAACAGCATTTTCAGTACTTTTATAATAGATATCCATTTTATTAACACTGGCCCAAAATTAAAGAAGTGAAGTCTTATTTATAAAATTTAAAACATCACGCCTCCAGATTCATGTTAATTTTCATGACAATTTTGGAAATATATTGTGAGTTGAACAAATCCAGTAATTAACATATTGCAATTGGCAATTACAATCAAAGAAAACTACCAAGAAGTTGTCAACATATGCAAAAACAGCACTTCCTGCGTTAGTATTGCAGTAAAAATATGGTAATAAAATACTGTAAACTGTATATAACATTTTAACTATAACTTGGATCTTGAATACTTTTAACTTTATAAAACTTTTAGTACATTTTTCACAATATTGATGTTCTTGAAATATTTTGGCTCCTCTGGAGGCGTGCAGCTTTAAAAGAAAGTGTATAAAATGATTTGATGATTAATGTATTAACATAAAAAGTTTACTTTTCAAACCATTCTCAAATATATAAGCATCTATTTGACATCTTTAAATAGTTCATCGTTGAGCTGAGAAAAATCATATTAGCATCAAGAAAGTATAATGTATGCTAATTAAAATGTATGAAGAAATACTCGAGAGTTATACAGGCATGCAGTACGATTTTTGGGTTGATGACAATGACTTATCTGCAATGGTCAGAGAGCACATTTCTGGAATACGGAGATATATGGAGTGCAAAAACAAACATTAGACAATTGCTGAACGAATTTCTGAGAAAGGAGAGAATCACATCGTCTCTCGAACTCCGAATCTCTGTACATATTATCAGATGTTACATGTTCGATCATTGGAGATCGTTCAGCACAACATAAGTGTTGTGTGTACATGTTTTTGGTGTTTTTAGTTTCTTCTATTTGACCTTTTAAACATGGGTAGTTCCAGTATTCCAACTTGAATACTGTAAAATCACCCTAAAGATATAGTGCCTGCTTTTTAAATATGTCTTTTGACGTCTTATCTGTAATACGAAGGCTTTATAACCTCTGATCCCTTTTCAAAAAATCATTGTTTGTTCGGCCCGTTGTTTTGTCGATTAGTTCAAAAGCTTTCTTTTACTTGGGGACTATACGCCACTGTTCATGGAATGGCACGGAAGTGACAAATTGAAGATTCCATGATAACCGCATAATAAACACATCTGCGAACGTTTCAAAATTTCAGCATTTTCTGTTTAAATGTTGAATTCTGTTTAAGACGGTGCTGGGGTCGTGGACGGTAACTTGCACTTACCTTTACCGTCCATGAACAGACTCAATCAAACCGAGCCTGCAACATTTACAATTCTGTTGTTTTGGACGTTCTTTAGGGATTCTGTTTTTTTCTTTTTTATTGCAATTTCAGTGTAATTTGTGCAGTGTGGAGGCCTTTAAAAGTTGTCCCGTACATATGATCAAAGATATTATATTTTCGGTTCCTGAAAATCGTTCAGGACAACATAATTGTTGTGTATACATGTTTTTGGTGTTTTAGTTTCATCTTTTTGACCTTTTCAAATTTGGTGGTTCCAGTATTCCAACTTGAATGCTGTATAACTACCCTAATAATATGTTGCCTGCTTTTTAATATTGTCTTTTGACGTCTAATCTGTGATTTCCAGGCTTCATTACCTCTGATCCCTTTACGCCTATTGAATTCTAGTTTAGGGCACGCGTTCTTTTACTTGCGTACCACACATCGCTTTTCATGCACTGGCACGGAAGTGTCAAATTGACGTTTCAGTTATAACCGCTCTATGAACACATCTGCGGATGTTTTAAAATTCAAAATTTCATCATTTTCGTGTTTTAATTAAGTTTAATTAAGTTTTAATTCTGCTTAAACCGGTGTAGACGGTAACTCGTACCATCAACAAACAGGCTCAAACCGAGCCTCATTCAATTGTGTTTTTGGACGTCTTTACATATTCTGTTTTCCCTATTTTATGTTATTATCTCCGATTATTCAGTCCCTTTACACTATATATATTGGAATGATTTGATAAGGCTATGGCTAAAATTAGATCTTACATAAAAAGGCCGAACCCAAATCTGAAGTCTACATATATAGATTGATGTAAAGCCCAAAGCCATAACAAGCCTGTTAAATTCTGTTCCTTATAACAAAAATAAACTTTAAGGCGAATTCATATTCAAGTTGTGCTTTCGTAAATCCTTTTTAGTTGTGAGTCCGCTGCAATCTAAAAAATAGAGAAAAACACAATGAACATTTAAAAGACATAGATAACAACTGCATGGCACTATGTTTTATTTCTGTTTTCTAAAATATCATAAAAGAGGAACTGTACTGCATCATAATTCTTGGAGATATTTAACAGTATAACTCTGACTTTGCCTTGAAACCTACACATTTCTATCCGACGCAATGTTCACAGAAAAAAACTCGGACGGTTTTGGAAAAATTCGCAAATAATTGCAAAAGATTTGCGATCGCAATATGACTCCTTATCACTAAGAGAAGAACATAGATTTTTTGCGTGACCTCATGGATTCTAGCGAAAAGTGGCGATACTTCTACTTACTTCAAAATGCTTTTGCAATTAAAAGGTATTGCAATTGTTTATTAACAAAACTGTAATAAATAATTGAAGAGAAATGTCAACCGGTTTCACCCGTTAAAGGGATCTTCAAGATAATGACGTTAATAACGTCGCTTGGTAACGACGTCAAAACAGTGTTAAGGGACGTTACTCTTATAACGTTTTAAAGGGACATAATAATAAGCTTTAATATTATTGTTATATATATATATCAAAGTTATTTTGAATTTAATTCTGGTTTAAAAACATTTATTAATACAGTTTCTTTCATTCTTCTTTTGCATGTGTCTGGTTCTCGCATTTTATAGATTGGCACTATATTAAACTTTGGAGTGATGTATTTTGCGCAAATGGCAATGTGTCGACTGACTGGTAATAATGCACTGTCTGAATTTCGTATATGTTGGTTGCGTTATGTTACTCGATTTCTTAAATTTGAAGATTCTCCAATATAATCTTTGGAACAACCATTGCATTTCAATGCATAAATTACATGTCTAATTTCGAATGATCCTGAGAATTTTACTTTAAATTCGCGGCCATTCTTGAAATGGTATGTATTTCCTTCTATCATGTGTTTGCACAGGCCGCATTTTAAACTGCTGCATCTTTTTATTTTATTTATCAGTGTTGAAGAAAATCGTGCCCTGGTCAAAAGTTTTTTCAGATTAGCCGGTTGTCTTTTACTTTTAATTATGTGGCTTCTGTCAATAATTCCTTTCATTATTTCATCATTTTGTAAAATTGGTAGATTTTCTTATATTACTGTGAAAAATTCGGTAATCCTTGGATTATGTGTTGACACGTATGGTATGACTTTCCCGTCCGTCTTTAGTTTTGTCTTCCGTAGTTCGGATTGTTCTATTGCCAAAGCTCTCTGGATGCCGTTTTCTATAAGTTTCTGAGGATATTTTAAAGAAGCTAGGAATTAGTTTAATTCATTTAATCTGAGATGTAATATGTCTCTATTTGATATAATTGTACAAAGTCGTCTAGCTAGTGAGAATGGGATGTTTTGTTTTGTGTGTTTTGGATGACAAGAGTTGAATAAAAGATATTGTTTACTGTCAGTAGGTTTATAGTAGATATCTGTTTCTATTTGGTCACCATTTAATTTAACTAAAACATCCAGAAACGGCAATTTCTCTACACAGTTTTCCATTGTGAATTTCAAATCTTTATGAAGGTTATTCAGTAGAATGTTAAAGCAATTCAATTCGTGCTTAGATTTAGGCCATAAAATAAACACATCGTCTCGAAAGCGTTTCCAGTAATTCATGATATAAATTTTAAATTCGGTATTATAAATTTCTGCAATTTTGGATAAAGCAGTTCCTCCTCCACATAGCCTAATACAAGTGTTGCATACACTGGAGCAAATTTTGTGCCCATGGCAGTGCCTTTTATATGTCTGAAAAACTTATCATTAAAAAAGAATGTATTATTCTTTAAGATGAATTCTGTGGCTGAAATGATGAAATTCTTTGTAAATCTAGTATGTATCACGTCCAAATGATTTTCAACCCAAAATTCTATTGATTTAAGGCCTAGTTCATGCGAAATGTTTGAGTATAAAGATTAAACATCAAAACTTGTTAAGATGATATCCTTTTCCACAGTGCCTGGCAATGAGTTTAAAAAATCTGTGCTGTCTTTTATGTTGCTTCTTACGAATCTGGTTAATGGTCGTAGAAGAATGTCTAAAAGGTTGCTTAATCTATGAGTTTGGCAGCTAGGACCTGCCACGATAGGCCTTACTTTCAAATCGGTGACATTTGAAATATCAATCATTGTTGATGATTGTTGTATCAAACACTTCTCATGTATCTGTTTACTTTTATGAACTTGAGGTAAACCATAAAAGTTTCTTTGTTTCACTTTAAAATTTGTTAGATAATCATATTCTTTGTGTGTGAAACAGGTCTGAAATCGATCAATAAGTTTTCTGTAATTTAACTTGTCTTTATGATTAGGATCTGTGTCCAAATATTCATAATACTGTGTATCGTTGAGTTGATATTTTGACGTCGTTACCAAGCGACGTTATTAACGTCATTATCTTGAAGATCCCTTTAACGGGTGAAACCGGTTGATATTTCTCTTAAATTATTTATTACAGTTTTGTTAATAAACAATTGCAATGTAAACTGGAAAAGGCATCACTTCATATATATATATTCTCCTTCGTCAATTGCCTCATAGGCAACTGATGCCTTTACAAGCATATCATTTTGGTGTCGGAGGATTACAATCATCTACTGTCTGTGTTTACAAGTGAGGTGAAGTGACAAAGCCATTGATTTTCAGAACATTATTACAGTAGATGTGAATAGCCAAACAACAGCGAAGAGTAAGAAAAAAGAGAAAACAGAATCCCGAAAGAAAGCCCAACACAAGAAAATTAGAAATATTGCAGGCTCCGTTTGATTGAGCCTGCTTATGGACGGTACTGGAAACTACAAGTTACCGTCCACGCTCCCAGCACCGGCTCAAGCAGAATTCAATATTGAACACGAAAATGGTGTGATTTTGAATTTAGAAAAATCCGCAGATGTGTTCATACGGCGGTTATCATTGAACCTTCAATGTGAGACAAAAGTGCCATTCCATGGAAAGCGGCGTATGGTCCCCAAGTCAAAGAATGCTTTTGCCCGAAACGAGAAAAAGCAATGGGCGGAACTAAATTAAATGGAATTTTGAAAGGACATCTGAGGTAATGAAGCCTGCATATCACAGATAAGACGTCAAAAGACAAATTTAAAAAGCAGGCAACATATCCTAAGGGTGATTATACAGTATTCAAGTAGGAATACTGAAACCACCCAAGGTGAATATGGCCAAATACAAGAAACTAAAAGTACCACATTACATGTTTACACAACAATAATGTCGTGCTGAACGGTCTTCAAGGATCGAAAATATAACATCATTGATTAAATGTAAGGGGAGATTTTTTACAGCCGCCACACGGCACAAATAACACGGATGTGACAATAAAATAGAGAAAAGCAGAATCCCTAAAGAAAGTCCAACACAACAAAATTGGAAATGTTGCAGGCTCATGAACTGTACAGGAAAGTGCAAGTTACCGTCCACGCCCCCCTACCGTCCAAGCAATATATGAAAACCAAATTTGAACGTTAGGTTCCCGATGATTTGGCTCAGCAGTCGGTAAAGACACTGCACAAAATCTATATTAATGTCCGGTCATCGTGCCAATGTTTTCGTTTTCGGATAACCAATGGTGTGATTTGTTGGTTGTTTGTTAACAAGCTCTTCCACCGCAGTATTCTTCATTGTAATGGTAACGGTAATTATTCGGTACGGACAAGACGAATAGTCCTGAAAAAGATGCAGGTTAAATGCACACCTACCGAACATGTTCAGAACATTTTGGGTGAAAGCTATTATCTACGAATTTGGTAGAAATGTAATATTTATAAGGTGTGACAGAAGCGTTAGACAATTCATGCTTGTGCTGAATTTCCACGGATAACATTCCGACAAAGATGATTTAGCATACTGTTCTGGCCGTAAAAGCTAACAAAGCGCAAACGTGGATAGGGAAAAAATCAACGTAGGAATATTCGACAAACTGAGTGTTAAGCTAACGAACGAAGACAAAGCTTAGATGTAAAATCGGCAATGTCCACAGAATTGTTTCAAAAGGTATCGAGAATATTCGAGATGTTTGGTATTTTGAAACAGGCTATTTATAAAGGGTCTGCTAAACGTTCGATTTATTCAAAAGGGATTACAGTTGTTATTATAATTGCAGTTTTGGATCAAAATCAAGAATAGCTCGGAGAAATTACAATGGCTATTTGGCATTGTCGTTTGTTCGTTGTGTATTCAAATAAGGGTTCAACGATTATTAAAAAAACAAAACATTCCAATTTCGTTTTGGTTATTCAGTTTCGATTCGGTATGAATTCCGGGAAATGGAACATGGGGGTTACGAACACGTGTCGAATATAAAGAAAATCAAACAAACTTATATTCTTGTTATACCCGGTAATATATAGATAGGGGAAAGGAAAACATCGAGAGTATGATAATAATCTCAACATTATCGAGTAGTATCTGTTCTTTTAAGATATCTAATTGATTTGTTTTTTTTGAATACATCTTATTTATTCTTTTTAAAATCTAAACGGATTAATGTAGTTTTTTTCGACGTGAAAACTTCTTTGTTTACATTTCAGGCGCTTCTAAGGTTAGATAGAGGGTGCAAAGTTCCTTTTGGAAACCACCTAAAGGCAGAAATTGATGACCTGAAGAGTAAACATATAGACAAACCAGAACAAGAGAAAGAATATCAACGTATTATAGAAAACTGGAAACGAACAGATGAACAAGTTGAGTCAAAAATGTTGCAGTACCTTAAACAAAGCACATTGGGTAATTTCAAAATTACTTTTATTGATTAACCTTTTACTTCATGAGCTTTTTGTAAACAATGGCTGTTTTCATGGCAAAGCCTCCTGCTACAAGTTCTAATTCCTATGAAAATATAGAAAAAGACTACATTACTGTTCGAACATAGCACAAATATTTACTTGACCATAGCCTTTGTAACGGCATAATACTTAATTTTGAATTCCCGATTACCATGGCACGAGGGGACATCTCAAAATTGCCAAAAATTACTCTTTTGATTTTTCCAACAAAACTGATTTCTAGGAGCTGAAACTTCTCAATGGATTGAGGTTGAGTCAAAGGCTTTTAGCGTTATTTCACGTTACCTTAAGGTCAATCTGAGATCATTTTAGCCTCTCACAAATAAAAAATGTTCTACTCACCTCTTTCAAACCTTTAAAGGGACTCCACTGAGGTCTTTTGACATGACGGGGCTGGAAATACCTTTTTGAGATTATAACTCCATTTAATGTTGATTTATACTAGTAACTTATGTGCGAAATTTCAGATCATTATCTTGCTCCGTTTTTCCAGAATAATTATAACAATAGTAAAAAATGACCCAAAACTGAAAAGCGTTTAAACGCTTTTTACTCAAATCGGACTGAGAATAGCACAAACATATGCTTTTTCCATGTATTTTTCTATATTTTTGGTTATATTGTATTGATATTTATGTTTTAAGTGCTAATGTACATCTAATTGAAAAATTAAAATTTCATGTTTTTAGGCCTATAAAGGTCCGTGGAGTTCCTTTAAAGAAGAATGGGGCACCCCCTGATATATCTATTTAATAGGGGATGGCGTCGAAATGGTGATCACTTTTGAACACCATTTCTTTGACGAAAACAAGTGTTTGGGATCTTAATGGGGATTTTTTCCACGATTTGAGGCCTCAAAAGGGGGAAAAGGATGGAAACGCGTGAAAAGACGTCTTTATGAAGTAATGGGTTATATAGACAAAACGCATATTGTTTTAGACAAATGATTTAAAAAATAGTCTTACAATAAGATTAAAATAAATTTATACACATTCAATCTCTCTGAAGAGACAATATAATACAAGGATAGCATTTTTGAATCCGGTGCAGAGTAGAACTATAAAATATGTAAGTCATACTATTTCTATTGTGCCTGGTTGTCAAATGTGACTTCTTCTGTTTTGCGAACTTCTATTTTAGACATTAAGATGTTAATCACTGATAGGAATTAATCAAATATTCATTGTATTACAAATTGATAAATTACAGGGCGTCAGAAAAGCAAAATTAAAATTAACGCAGACACGGTTTGATTGAGTTTGTTTATGGACAGCAGTGGAAAATGTTATATATCTTCTACGTTCCCGAACATTCATTGAAAAGTTGATTGATCATTTAAGGTATTAGCACCCTAATGCATTACCTCCGCGTTGAAGAGTATTCAAATAGGCTAGAATAACTGTTAACTACATTGAAAATGAGGCCCATGGGTTCAATCCCCAGAAGGGTCAACTTGTTTTTTCTTTCTTTTTTTCTTTTAACACTATTTATGTATCTCTCATGTCCCATATGGAAAGAAAAAAGTGTTTAATTTTGAATTTTTAATTCATATAGGTATTTATTGGCTAAATTATGCTAAATCTAGTAATAAATATGGTACCTGATATTTTCAAAGTGTTATATAATCAAAACTAGACGGTAAAAGTATTTCATATATTACAAGATCAACCAATATACTTTTTTAAAAATTTAGGGAAATTTTGAAAACAGGCAATCATTTGGGTAAATTTTAAGAATTTTTTTAATTAGGCTCCCTTAGTAGAAAAATGGTCAGACATGTGGTAAAAATGGGTGGGGTAGGGTAACATTTTTATACAGAATTCATAAATGTTAGGTAGAAACCATAATTTTGCTTATGTGGATTGTTAGCTGAATGGTACTATTTGTTTCTTAACAAAAATTCATGGGAAAACATTTTTCATTAGAATGTTATTGCAGATTATTTAAAGGTTCCTCATTTCTAAAAAAGGGCCCTCATAACATCCTAGCTTGAGTTCAGAAAAGTGGCCGTACGGTAAACTTTGTTTGAATTTTGCATACAGGCGTACTTTAAGGTATACATCTGACCTATGATGTCATTTCTTTAGTTCCTGATAGTGCCCATTAGGGTCCTAATACCTTAAACTAAACTGGGATGTGTTCCTACGGCACACTATTGAACCTCAAATGTGACAATTTCCTAAATAGCGTCAAAGGAAATTTTGGCAATAAAGTTTGATTGCTTACACCTTTTTGTTAAATAATTATATTCCCGATTCAACAAATGAAAATTTATAGTTAATATATCAATTTTATGATACATATTTAATCTATATCTATTTTAAGTTGTGTTGTACACTAAATTATTCTGTGATCTGCTCTAAAGACGGTTGATTTACTTTGCCACTGATGTTCATGAAAAAATCAACTCACCGGTTGTGTTGGGAAACGTTCAGTCAGAAACCAGTATTTAATATTGTTCTTCAATTTTAGAAAAATGTAACTGCTATTTTAATCTGTCGTTAGATAGATTTTTGTAAGAATGTCTTGTAACTGTTTAATCGCTCTATAATGACGATTTGTTCATATCGATCAAAGTTTTTGTTCAGAAATGTCAACTATTTAACAAGTGACTCATTAATGTCTAGCAATTTGTCTTTTAAAGTGGCACCTAGAGGCTTGGACGGGTGCTAGAATTAACCACTGCCGATCATAAAGAGTCCATCAAATCAAGCCTGCACTGTTTTAAGATTTGCGTGCATCAAAACGTTAAAATTAAATGTTTCCGCATTTCTAAATTTTCATAATGTGTTTTAGCAAGTTATATGAAAATGTGAACATGCTTTATTCAAATCTTTTCTTTTCTTTTTCAGAAAGATCCTTTGGTAAGTATCCATATTCTAGAAATTATAATAAAGGTAGAAATATGTAATTTTTATTTTTATTAAAGTATGTATACATGTTTGTTTTTCAATTATGTCATCAATGATTATGAACGAAAGGCACTGGATCTCCATAGATAAGAGCTGAATGCCACCGACTGTTTTCAAAATGTAGATAGATTGATAAAGATTGATTAAATCATCAGCTCATATATGATACTTAATTAAAAATGTGCTAAATGAAATTACCTGTGAAGTTTTAATAAACATGTTTTTGTTATTTAGTGGATTATATTAAACATCTGAAGTAACACATCATATTTAACAGGATGCATTGACAATGATCCCGCCGTTCTTTGAAAAATCAATATATTTCATTGTTTCTGTTGTCTAATACATCAGCCTATGATTTGCATCTTCGAATTTCAGAGCTTTCAAAAGAAACAGTAAAGGAGGTATTAGCTGACAAATACTTTGTAGAAACAGAACAGTTTCATGCTGCTAAAGAAAAGCTTCTGCGAAACAAAGTAATCGTTCTAAATGGTGCACCAGGAGAAGGTAAAACAACAATTGCAAAGAAACTTCTTCTTGGAGTGGCAAACAATCAAAGGTATATACAACTGCATTCATATGCAGAATGGGAAACTGTTAACATAGACGGGGTAAATGCTATTTTAATTGATGATATGTTTGGGGCTGGATCATTTAGTAAAGAAGAGTATAGAAAATGGCAAAAACACATCCCAGCTATTGCAATTGCAGTAAAAAACAAACGCTTGTATCTGATTATTACATCTCGAAAATATATTCTTTCAGAAGCATTGGAGAAAATGTTTGTCCAAAGCATTTTCTCAGAAGAAAATATATTCACCCTTTCTTCCAAAGAGCTGAAAGGACCTGAGAAACAAGGTATTTTAGAAAAACATTTTTGTAAAGCTTCAGAAGAAAATTTTGTCATTCGCGAAGCTTGTTTAAAGAAAGAACACTCTGAAACTATTAGCCAGATTGTAAAACTTGAATTATGCGGACCTGAACTAGGCGGTCTGACTATTGGATTTCCCGAATGCACTAGGTTATTCTCTAGCAGTGTGTCATTGTATGAGAAAGGCATTGAGTTTTACAAAGATCCAATGGCATGTGTTAAAACATACATGTCAGAGCTTCTCGCAGACGATGAAATACTGATAGCATTTTTTGTATTATGGGCGCAAGAATCCAAATTCCTTATATCTCTGGAACTCGAACGTCCTATTGATGACACAGCAGGAAATATAATTGCGCCAATAAGACAATTACAATTCCAACCTGATAAACATATCAGAAAAATACGGCACGTTTTACGACAACACCGCGGCGGATTCATTAACTTTGATGGTAAAAATGAATCTTTTACTTTTAGCCATCGCGTTGTTCAAGATGCTGTTGGACTAGTTACGTATGAAATAAATCCAACAGCTGTGATTGAACATAGTGATTCCTCTTTCATAGATAATTTTATTCGTGCAGGTAAAGAATCTTATGATTCTGTCTCATCCTGTAATATTGGTCAGCTGATAATACACGTTAGCCATGCAAGATATTCACAGGTAAGCTGTAGATTAGGATCCTTTATAATGTCACCCGATTCTGAGACATTAAAAGATCCTTCACTTTTAAGACTTTGTGTTTTTGAAGACAAGGATTTCTGTTTAGAATTCCTTAATGCTTTAAACAGGCAAGGATGTTTGAAAACATTTCTCAAAGCTAAAACAAGAAGTCTCCGTTCAGAATTTGCCGAATTCAAATTTCTAAATGATGTGTCCACTGATATGGGAGTTCTAGCATATTTGGTGTGGATGAAAGAAGACACATGTCCGTTGTTAGAAGTTTGTATATATACGATGTTGTCCCTTGAACTTGAAACAGAGAAAGAGCTTTGTACATCTTTACTGATAGCAGTGAAACTCGGGTCATGTAAGTTGGTCAACTTCCTTATTGCACAGGGTGCTAAAGTCAATCTAAATCATACGTTACTCTCAGTACAAAGAGGTAACAAAGACGTTTTAGAGCGACTTTTAAAAGATACCGACATTTCATCTAGAAGCGACATATTGTATAAAGCATGCAAAGCAGGATATGTAAACGTTGTATCAACAATATTGGATGACGAATGTGATCTGATAAAACTTGATGATGTCGATAGCAAACGCATGATTGAAAATGCTATTACAGGAGGGCATGCAGGTCTCTTAAAGTATTTTTTACAAAAAAATACACTTGAGACTGATTTGACATTCGATGTCAGGGGTAATGAATTGCCATTTTATCATTTTGTTATTTTGAAACAAAAAACTGATTTGCTAGATGTGCTTACTGAAGCAGGATATCGCCCGAAAAATGTTGATAGCAAAGGAAGAACTCCCTTTCTGTATGCCATATATTCTGGTAAATCATCAATTTTGTTAAAGCTTTTAAAGTTATCAGTGAAGGAAAATGTACATTGTCTGCCGGACAACGCGAAAAACACAGCATTGTATATGGCAATAAGAAAGGTCATTACATCTTCAGGTCCAGAAAGGAATGTTTTTCATGACATCGCTTTAAGATTATGCAGTTTTTATGATAATATACATCTAAAAAATGATAATGGAAAACAAACTGCTTTAGAACTTGCCTGCAAAGGACAATTAGATGAAATAGCTAATGCTATTATACAACATGGAGACCCTTTTGTTAAGAAAGGAACAACTCTTTTTCATCATTTCGTTACAACTGGCAGTTCACAGATGCTGTCCACGCTGTTGAAATGTAACATTGATCCAAATCAGCATGATAATAACCATAGAACACCATTTATGTTAGCAAATGCTTTAGGCAAAGTATCAATTCTAGAAATGTTGCAGGAAGATCAAAGAATAAAGAAATATAATAAAGAACTTGGCATAGAGCTAAATACTCGGAATATTTCCGGAACCTTTTCTATTTGAAAGACGCAACACCAGAATAGATCTATAAATTATGGCGGATGAGGATTGGTGACAGATGTTACACATCTCATAAATTAGCATACATAGGGTTTGCAGTTATTTTGTCTCCTTTCAATTGTGTTTGCGTTGACATTCTGGATAGTATCGCCTATTTATATTAAACCTGCTTAATATAAACAATACCATACAAAATGAGGGAACTCTTACAGTTGATAAATCAGTTTTGATTTCCGTTCTTATTCATAATATCTATCTTTTGATTTATTCATCGTTGATTTTAGTCGATTTGTACGATTAAAATTATTTTCAAATGGAAACCTAGGGATTCAGGACCTCTTCATGGGCAAAAGTAAACACATAACGGGCAGGATATATAAACTGAAGTAAATTCAAATTACAGGGTTTGTAAATGTGACAGGTAATAATTTTGAAGTGTTGCAATGGTCTATATATATATCTTACAGCGTTTCTAAGCCTTACATCTGTTCAAAATGTACCCTCAACAGCAGGCAACTTACTACTGAGAATCACTGAAACGAAACAAATCGTTCAAATGAAAATTCAATGCGTAAACTAAAACCTAAAAATACAAATTAAGCATGTCAAGTATGGTTTCACTTATGAGATTTTTATCAATATTCCGAGCGGAATTTGTGATTACAAGTTAAGAATAATTTCTGCCCTCTTTTGACTTGCTGCACTGCTAAGACTTGCTGCAGTATTGGACTTGCTGCACTTTTGGATGTGCTGCAATATTGGACTAGCTTCGCTTCTAAGACTTGCTGCACTCCTTGGACTTGCTGCACTATTGGACTTGCTGCAGTATTGGACTAGCTTCGCTTCTTAGACTTGCTGCACTCCTTGTATTTGCTGCATAATTGGACTTGCTGCACTGTTTGATTAGCTACGCTTTTAGACTTGATGCGGTCCTTGGATTTGCTGCATTCTTTTGACTTGCTGCACTTTTGAACTTGCTGTACTATTGGACTTGCTGCACTGTTGCACTAGCTACGCATCTTAGACTTTCTGCGCTCCTTGAACTTGCTGGACTATTTGACTTACTGCACTATTGGACTTGCTGAACTATTGGATTTGCTGCACTTTTGGACTAGATACACTTCTTAGACTTGCTGCGCTCCTTAGACTTGCTGCAATATAAGACTTGCTGTAGTATTTGACTTGCTTCCAATCTTAGACTTGCTTCTTTTCTGGGAATCGGACTGTTCTAAGACTTGCTTCTTTTCTTGGAAGCGGAGCGTCCTAAGACTTGCTTCTTTTCTTGAGAGCGGACCGTTTCTAAGACTTAACTCTTTACTAGAAAGCAGACCGTTTTTACACTTGCTGCTTTATTTGATTCCTTCATTGGACCTGCTCACAACCAAGGAGACTTGTTGAAAAAAAGCTTTCTGACAATATTTGAACCGAGCCAAACGCCACAATTGTGACGTCACATCAAAACAAAATGGCGGACATTTGTGTTTCGTTTTTAAAATAAATTGGCTATTTTGATTGTGCTGAATAAAATTTTATATGAAAAACAATAATGGAATAGCAAATAGACTTTTGAAGACTAAGCATTAAATATGTAATTGTAAATAACCAAACAATTTCACAATTCTTTCCTGGTGGTTCCATAACTAGAATTGACACCACTGATCGGTAATATAAGAAGTTGTAACGTTTTACAAAATCATTCTTGCAACTTCTTTTTCAACTATTAAAACATGAGAATCCCGAACGGCCATATAAATTATTTTAAGTATTTCCTCGACCTACTTTAGATTTTTCTGAAAAATTGTTGTGAATTGAAAAAAAGACCTTAACATTTTTACATTTGTACGTGAAAGGGAGAAATGACACCAGAACATCAGAAAAGTAGTAATATAACAGTGGATTTAATATCTTATCGCTAACATCATACCCTGTAATACGACCACGATATCAAATTGATATTATCCATTGCAACAAAGAAGGAAAACGCGTTTGAAAAGCGACAATCGTGCAGACTTCCTTCTGTTTTGCTTTAATCATTTCAAAGAATTTCATTCATTTACCGTCGTCCAGAAATAACACGAATCTATATATAAACCTATATAACTATCCTTTGCTACTCCGGATAATAACCCTTTTATTGCCTAGGCCAATGTATATAAACCTTAATTGCATTTTTTGATTTCGCAAGACAAAGGTTTTAAGATTCTAAGTGATATATAACATTCCTGCATATTTTAATAAAAGCAGAGGCCCGGAAAAAACAAATAATTTTCGTGTTTCACATTTATTTTATAGTTGAATGATGCCCTCTCACCGCTCTCTGTATTACTTTTAGATAAGCAGCATTAAAAAGCCATCTTTTATCAATAAAAGCCATTGTTTTAGCAAAAGTATATGCAATGCAATGTTTGGGATGTGTTTACGCGATTTCGATACAATTGTTTTACCAATATATATTGTATTCATACATATTGTATTACAATGTTTTGCCATTTGTATATAATTTGCATATGCATTCTTTTTTCTCAGATTCTAAGATCAAGTAAGTTTATATATTTGTACGAAAGTGTTTTAAGCAAATAGTATTTATTTAGCATTAATAACGAATTTTTGAATTTTTCATTTAAACAGTCTCTAGCTCATTTTAGCATTGAAATGAAAGAATAGCAAGTTTGACAATTTCAAACAATCAGGAAAACAATACAAAATATGAGGGAAAGTTTTTTAAATTGTAATTACAGCAGCGAAAAATTGTTTATAATAAACAGAAAATTCAAGTTTTGTTTTTATAAATATAGGATTTATTTTCATCTTGTGGTATGAAAACTATCATATTTCACACGTGGTTACCGCCACTAATGAGACATTTGTTTTAAAAAATACTGTTTTTATAAAAAAAATTGACTATTCTATATACCGTGCTCGCCAGACGCTCGAATGATATTCTTTGTTTTCTGCCAGTTCAGTAAATGTAGTAGTAAACCTATGCGTTGACTGTAGATAAAGATTGTAACTGAAATGTATGTAATGGTATGCATGCGATGTTGTAAATAAGAGGACTGTCTTTCATGTTTGATTACACAAGATTGAATTGTATTACATAGTTAAACAATGATAAGTGTTTTTCCATTTTTTGAAGGTGTTAACATTTATGCAATTAGAAACTATGTTATCATATATTTAATGTGCATGAAAATATGTATATTTAAGACATATAATATGTCATTGTACATACTTGTTTTTGTCATGTTTTATTTAGATTTGTTGAAAACTAATCAATATGTAAAAAATTGATAACAGTCATATTATTGATATTATATAAAGATGTTTTAACATTGAAACATGTTTATATTTTTTTCAAGCACCGACAGCTTTATGTTCGATAGCTTGTTTGTGTTTATCAATCTTGGTTTTTATTAAGAAAGGTGGGCACTTCATTGTCTTTGAATCATTTTCAATTTTTGACAGGATTATTTAGATTCAATAAACGTCGCTAAGGGTAATGTCTCTTATAAGTTTTTTTTAACTAAGCTTTAATAGTTTTCAAGTGATTACAAAACAATGATTTTACATATACTGTAACAGTCACCTTTGACTAAAAGATCCTGTAACACATTTTTTATGGTTTTATATCATATATATGATGCTCAAATTAAAATTTATTAACATTGTATCTCCCAAAAAAGCATTATTTATAAAGATATCACGGAATTTAACATTTCATGTAAATAAAGGGAAGTAATAAGAAATTTTTTTTTACAAAGTCTAAGTAAAAATTTTCAATAAGAAATGAATGCATATATTTTAATGATAACATATAATGTGCACAAATATTTGCAGTACATATTTTACAAATTCTCATTGATATTTGTTTCATAAGCATAATTATATACATATATACAATTTCACTTAAGTGTGGTAGCAGCCTCAGTTACAAAATACAGGATCTTTAATTAGCTCAAAAGAAATGGGGTAATCTGTAAAATTTTAATAATGAAAATCATCCCCAAAAAAATCTTAGGACTGCGGCCTTAAGTTTTCTCAAGTAAATGGTCGGACAAGGTGTAAGTGGTAAAGACCACGATGGTCATGACCTTTGATAAATAAACCGCAAAACAAAAAGGGACCTTCTGCTAGTAATTAGGTTATGTACTTACCAAGTAACATGAACCATTTCTTGTTGTTTCCCAAGTAACTGGTCAGGCAAAGAAGAGGTGACGAATGTAGGTACGGACATGTCCTTTGACAGTAGGCATCCATATTTTAAATATATATTATACAATATATAGAAATGTTTTAATTTTGATATACAACTGGAAATAAGTTAAGCACATCCCGGATACCTTACCCAGAGTCCGGAGCCCGGGCCGGATTCAAACCTCTATTATATAATCACTCGAAATTAAATTGTTTGTTTTGGGATTGGTTGCTGTAGCCTATTGATATAGAATTCAGACGTTTGTTTAAAATTAGATGTGATGACCTCATTTTACATTAGATGTAATATGTTTTAGTGGCATGATGTTAACTTATGAACAAACCTTAATTGTACATAGATAATATTTGTTTATTTCATGCTTTAACAATAACTGTAATACATTTTGGCTGATTTATGCTTTTTAATGTAACGTACTATCATCATGACATCATACAAGGCATTTCAACACTACACTGTTGTAATGCCTCAAGATTTGTAGATTGAATTACATTTTCATAATTTCACAATTGTTCATGGTCTTTTGTATATTTTATTCTATGGATTTATGTTTTGCAGTTGCAACTTCAATTCTGATATCATGATTATATGTATATAATGTTTAATTACGTGAATTACATTAAATGGTCTGATTTGCATACAGTGACAGCTTGTTTGCTGTTTAGGAATTGTTTACCTTTGATTGACGATTTCCTATTGTAACAAAATTACAAATATTTCAGCAATAAAGACTTTAGCCTATATATGTGATGTGTCCATTTTTCATTCAATGTCGAAATTGTTTGCTAATGAAGAATTTTTTAGTTAATTTATGATTTTTACTTCAACAAAATCGGAAATATTGCAACCATAAAAATAAGCCTAGGCGTATGCCAACTCTGTTAAATGTTAAGGCTGAAATTTAAAAAATGCCCCCTGAAATCTATTGATATCATTTGTTACTTACATTATGTTCTTGTGTTCATAGTTATATGTTCAATTTACTAATTTTGTGAATTGACAGACATGTATGTTTGCATAAAATATACGCTTGTATTTTATATTCTTTTGTATCCTTTTATTTCTTATATCTAAGAAGTTCATGACTTTTGCATGAATTCGTTAAATTGGCAATAATCCAATTTAACCAGGGTTTGATGGAGGATATACACACTCTTGTTACTAATGCACGCATATTTCTTATATTGTTACTTGAGATGACCAATTGAAATGAATTCATTTTGTTATAACATTTGTTTTCCAAATGTTACAATGATTATTGAATATAATGGTATTATATATCACTTGCTGTTTTTCTCTAATGCATACAAATAAATACTTTATATACCCTAGATTATTGTTTTGTTTAATCCATTAATCTACGCTAAAAAGTAGCTAATATGATTGATCAGCAAGTTGCATTATAATGTATTATGAAATGATGATTTGAATATATAGCAAGGTCTATTAAGGAGAAGATATGGCAAATAAACATTTAAGACAATATGTTAACATTAAGGACATGCACTATTCTAATGTAACCTTCGACTCTCTATCCAATAGAACATGTGAGACAGATGAGCTAATTATCAAGATCAAAGATGTTGTAAAGTTTCGTTGGTTAAGTAGTGAAGCGATAAAGCATCTTTACTATTACAAATGTCATGTACATGTCAGGACTTATGCCACAACTTCTATCCACCGATATATCTCATTATTCAAAGTTACTAGACTCACCAATATTTTTTACAGAATGGGAGATAATTCAGTGAAACTCATGATTTATCGTACAGAATGAGTTGTTTCCCTTACTAGTATTTCATTATAAAATACATCCCCTAGAAATTTAGTTATTCATCAGATTAATAGTGGCATAAAATTGAATACTTTGTATCCAGTATTCTTATTTTTATTACAAAATACATGTGTACCAAATACTGACAGATTTTTTTCCCGAAATTAATTTCGCTGGGAGTATTTTTTTTTCAAATGTAGTACATGTATTAATTTTGGTCTGACGATTATCCCCTCGTAACTGTATCCTTTGTCATGTATAAAATATTTCTGATTGCGTGAACTGACCAAACAGATGATTATCAAAGAACTGAATTTCTTATTTACAAAATTGACTCTTCACTCATGATTAATTAGACATAGTATGAAATGATGTCTGAGATATGTAACACCGGAAACAGGCTTGTCTGTTTGATTTAGTCTGCAATGCTTTTTTGTTGTTTTCTTCTGATGGATCTCCATTTTTCCAGATTTTAAATTTTAATATTTATATATTTACATGAAAACCTATTCTTAAATCTATCATAACATTTTTTATCAACATCTGGGATAATACTTTAATCTTCATAATTAAGAGGTTTTATAATGGCCTCATTGTTATGACTGAATGGTAATATGAATATTTATGATGCCGAATAACAAGGTCATTATGAGAACTCTTAATTATTGACAATTTTATCAATTAACATTGCATTATTTGAACACATCTGCTGATGTTTCAAAATTCAAAATTGTACCAGTTTATGTTAAATGTTGAACTCTGCTTAAGCCGGTGCTAGGGGGCGTGGAACGGTAGTTTGCAAGTGACAGTACCGTCTTTAAACAGGCTCAATAAAACTGAGCCTGCAACATTTTCAATTTTGCTATTATTCTGTTGTAACAAAATGTGACTATTTCTTGTGATGTCATTGTACTGTAAAGTATAAATAGTTTCCACTACAATGTTTTAATTGACATTATTTGTAATGTAGACTATATATTCTATATAACATTACTAGCAGGTGCTCGTTTCTGTAAAATTGTATTGTAAGTTAAATAGCCAATCATAAATATCCGTAAGAGGGCGTTGTCGTGCAAAGCATATAAAGGCAGAGGAATTCAAGGTGAGTTTAGTTTGTGTTGGTGGAAGTCAGATTGTCAACGTCTTATCTTAGAGCTTTGAAGTTATACCTGCTATATTTTGCCTGTTATCCGTGTTCTCTAGGGGGCAACGCTACCGGAGAGGATTGCAGGTTTTTATATAGTAGAAAGTAAACCGGGCTGCAGGATATTTGAAATCATTGGTCTTCAATCATTTAGGTAAGGAAACCTAGAGGAAAATTATTAATATAATATATTGAATACAAATACATAAATTTTTAATTCGGTATACTTTGTTACATTAAGAGCAATAGTATGTAGCAATTATTGTAGTATCTATATCTTGAGGATACCTAGTTTATATAGTAAGTAATCTAAAGCGATTTGGGATACTGAAAACTATCCTCTTAAGAAAAAAACCAATGCAAGCGATTATAAATTTTCCATTTTTCTTATGGGATTACTGTATTTCAAAATTTTCATTAGAAACAGAGGGATTGAAATAGCTGATTCATTACAAAGCTAAAAAGGAAGACAAGAACGAGTGAAAACAAAGGGAAGAATATATTTTGACTACGTGAAACAGGGCCATTCGAAAGTCCTCGCATGCTTATCCCCAACAGTACTTAAGCTGCTGACCGTTCCAAGGCGGCGCCCCTCTATGTTCCTAAGATGTTATCTGTCGTTTTGGTGACACTTTTGTTTGTGTCCCTGCTTCCCTTTTGCCCCTAGTTTTATCATTTTCTTTATATTTGCCCCTCCCTTCACCGAATCTCGTATCCCCCTTTACTTGCTCGGCCTTTTCATCGATCAATTATGTGTTTTCTTTAATTTCCTTGTTGGTAACTATTATTTCTTTTAAGTATCATTTGAATGATTTGCCTGTCCATGCTTTGCCTTTCGCCCTGCCACTTTTTCTAGGTCGTGTAGGGGATGCGTTTATTAAGGGTCTTTCCTTGTTGAACTTGTTTATCATATTTTGAGCATTTTATAAGGCACGGACTGAATACAGTAAACACAGGCTAGGGCGTACATGTTTATGCGGCTGTTCATATTTCAGTCCTCCGATGAGATGGATAAACAGAGTTTTCAAGGCAACAATAATACAGCATTAGTAAATATAATTTTCTGCGTTTGAACGCAGTGAATTAGAAGATAATTATTTCCCCCTGTTTCGTTGTAATTTTTTGCAACAGGTGGCGCTGTGTAGCGCACGAGTTTCTCGGGTATAATGAACAACGTGGTCATTAGCGCTAGGACAGCCGACTATAGTGAGTGAAGACAATTCTAATTTTAATATCATATTTTGACGTTACATTTGTATTCTATAAATGTTTGTACTTTAAGAACTTTAAGTATTGTGAAACAGTCGACATATCCAAAGTCGCTTACAACAAATTAAACAATGTGAAATATTTATGTTCGTTTCTTTCATTTTGTCATTTTGCAAACAGTTTGCTATGATCTAGGGGATGATATTTTCGTTCTCATTATGTTTTTATTTCATATGATGCTTAAGTAACATCTGACATACATTAACGCGACAGGATTTATCCATATCAGTTGATATAATTCATACAAATTTAGGCAATTCGTTGGCTGCGAAGTGACATCATCCATTTGATTAATCACATTCATAAATATACCAGAATGGAATCATTTTAAACAGACATGGATGGGGATAAAGCTTGATAAAGATTGCCCTGTTCTGATTTTGTTTGGGGTCCGCTTGGGCTCCTTGCCACTGGTTCTTGTTGCTGGGTCGTATGGGGGTTGCGTTCATTGAACGCCGCCTTTCCTTGTTGATCTTGTTAATTATATTTTACCGAGCACCGAGGTACAATACAATCAAAAATAGAATAGAGAAAACAGAATCCCTAAAGAAAGCCCAACACGGTAAATTGAATATGTTCAGGCTCGGTTTGATTGAGCCTGTTCATGGACGGTACTGGAAAGTGCGGTTATCATGGGACCTTCAATGTGACACTGTACTTTCATGAATAGCGGCGTATGGTCCACAAGTAAAAGAATGCGTGTGTTCGAAACGAGAAAACAATGAGCGGAACTAAAAACAAGATGGCCATGGTGGCCCTGAATCGATCACCAGAAACAACAATTTTTCAGTGATACTAGAAATATGTTTTTTTCAAATAAACTTGTAGAAAGACAAGTCCAGGTCAACTTCAACTTGCCTCTCTAGGAATAAGGTTTCCCGACACTGATTGATTTTTTCTTTATATTAAAATGACAGGAACCAAGTTTGATGATCATCCATCCATTAATTTGTGATACAATTTGTCTATGACTGTTTTTCAAAATTGCGATCTTTCTATTTTTTTTAATCATCTAAAAATAAGATTATTACATAATCTCAGTATTTAAATATACATGTATACTGTTTGTCAGGATGACACCACCGATCAATATTTATTTAAGATAACATAGGTATACTAGTCAACTCGACCAGAAAGGTGACATTTCAGGTTAATTATCTTACTCTCTAATAGAAATGGGGAAAATTGTAATTGTAACTAAAAGGCAGAGGTTGTTTTGATGAAATGTATTCAGTGAACATGAAAACAATTTTACATACATTGTATGAAGCACACATTACTTTCAAGTGATAACCAAGTTTGCAAAATGTGATTCTAAATAGAAATAATTGAAACTGATACTAAAATAGCACAAAGAATAAATAATGACAAAATTACATAAAGACAATCAAGAAATACTTCTTAAGTTGACATGAGTTCACTTAATTTAAGTTTTGTTCCTTAATGTAAAATGTTACAAAAGATTATAAAGTAAAATTAGATGAAGAATGATTTACGCCATATCTACATTCAAATTTTTTAACATTTAACTTATTATTTTGAGTGTTGAAAAATTATTTGAATATTACCTAATGAAAGAAAAAAAGAAGAAAAAAACTGAGATAAAGGAAAGAGGTTATGCAGCTGCTCAGGCTAATAAGACAATTACAGGTCTATCGGTCAGGCTGTTCTATATATAATTATTATTATGTTCTCATATAATACAACAGATACTGTAAATGAGTCTCAGTAAAAACAATCACCTATCTGTTACAAAGTGACAATATCCCATGCAATGAAACATCAGGTTCAAAAGTGTGTCCCAATATTTATTGAAACGTGATTTCTCCAAATTAGTAAGGTACGAGAAACAAATTAAACATTTCTTTAGGCCTTGGGGAACATTCTCTAGATTGACCTACAAATGAACCTTAGAATGATCAAAATTCTAGGACACAAACAGAAATATACAAAGCACATGACCTCAAATCATTTCTTCAGGATCTCTGTAAAGCAAACAGGTCTTGACATTAGGACATTCAATCTTTTTTATGCATACCATGTACATACATGTGAACGTTTTTCAATGTTTAAGAGGGAGAATTAACTTCAAAATTTTGAAATGAAAAAGAAGGAGATTTTTTTTTAAAACACCCCTTATTCTAAGAAAAATATTTAAAAATTTGACGGGAGAAAGAGGGTGTCTCCCGCTCAAATTGGCAAGTTCACATGTATGCCTGTACGCATATATTGAAACATGAGTTATTTTCCTTTCATTATTAAAATATAATTTAAAGAAATGCCATGGCCCAGGGCATTTTAGCTATAGTTGCTCCTAATATTTTTAGCTTTAATCAGATATATATGAGCAAATTTCATAAAAGACTACCAAACAATGCTACAAACAAAATTTGGTGATCATCCATCAATTAGTTCTGTAGAAGATGTCTAAAGGTTTTCTATTTTTAGCTCAAGAGACCCCTAAAAGGGGCTAATCAAATAAATATGAGCAAATTTGATGAAAGACTACCAAATATGCTACAAACAAAATTTGATAATCACCCATCAGTAAGTTCTGTAGAAGCAGACGTTTATAGGTATTTCTATTTTTAGCTAAAGCGGCCCCTTCAAGGGGCCAATTAAATTAATATGAGCAAACTTGATAAAAGACTACCCAAAAATATAACAGACAAAGTTTGGTGATCATCAATCAATTAGTTCTGTAGAAGAAGACGTTTAAATGTTTTTTTTCTATTGTTAGCTAAAGGAGCCAATCAAATTAATTTAAGCACACTTGATAAAATACTTCCAAAGAATGCTACAAACAAAATTTTGTGATCATCCATCAATTAGTTCTGAAGAAGCAGACGTTTAAATATATTTCTACTTTTAGCTATAGCGGCCCCTAAAAGGGGCCAATCAAATTAATTTGAGCACTCTTGATAAAAGACTTCTTAAGACTGCTTTAGACAAAGTTTGGTGATCATCCATCAATGAGGTCTGTAGAAGCAGAGGTTTAAAGGAATTTCTATTTTTAGCTATAGCGGCCCTAAAAAGGTGCCAATCAAATTAATATAACAAACTTGATAAAAGACTACCCAAAAAATAGATAAATACAGAATCCCTAAAGAATCCCAAGAATACAAAAGACAAAGTTTGGTGATCATCCATCTTTTAGTTCTGTAGATGAAGATGTCTTAAGTTTTTTTTCCTATTTTTAGCTCTGTTGATCCCTAAAAGGAGCCAATTGAAATGACAGGAGCAAATTTAAGTGTGACTGTCACAAGGATGCTACAGACCAAAGTTTAGGTAAATCTGCCCAGCAGTTTCAGAAAAGAAGACGATTGTTGACGCATGACGACGGACGACGGACGCCGGAGTATCCCCCTGTGATACTAATAGCTCACCCTGAGCCTTCGGCTCTTGTGAGCTAAAAATGGAATTCTGAAAGGGGATCTGAGGCTATGAAGCCTACATATCACAGATAAGACGTCAAGAGACAATTTAAAAAGCAGACAAAATATCCCGGGGGTGAAAAGACAGTATTCAAGTAGGAATACTGGAACCACCCAAGTTGAAAAAGGCCAAATATAGAAGAAACTAAAAATACCACAGAACATGTCTTCACAACAATTATGTAGTGCTGATGCATAACTTTCAATTGCTAAAAAAATGATATAATGATTTTATATAAATTAAGGTTACACAGATTTTATAATTATCTTTTTATTTTTGCATTATAATCTTTTAAACCTAAGCGACAGGCGTATACAGAATAGAACAACCTTATACAAATATAGACAGCGTAAAAAAAAGTGTTAGTAACCTCTCTTATTTTGTCCTGTTAGAATTACAATAATATTGGTCTGAGCAGTGTTCAAGATATAAAAGACTGCTTTGTCGTTTTAATGCAAAATATTTATGCACTCAAGCTTACGTCTTTAGTATGAAAACAATATTTTATTCACAAAATAATACATGGTAGTAAATAAACAAGGCAAATGCAACGTTCATATGACGCAGTCCCCGTGACACACCCAAGCCGGGGACTGAAAAATATTGTCCAGATGCTTAAGTGGGATCGACATTTACGATTGAGTTTGTTTGATTTGGGTTTTATGTCACACCGACACAGTATATGTCATTTGTCGACGTTCCAGCTTTACTGGTGGAGGAAGACCTCAGGTGCCCCTCCGTGCATTTCTTCAGGCACGAACGGGCACCTGATTATAGCCACCGACGTTCCGTAGGCTAGCTGGATAGCTTCCTCACATGAAAGAATCCAAAATCCCTGTCGGGATTCGAACCCACAGCGTTTAGGGGCAAGTGGTTTGAAGTCAACGACCTTAACCACTCGGCCACGGACGCCCCAACGATTGAGTCTAACAAGCGTTCATTGAACGCGGCCTTTCCTTGTTGATCTTGTTTATCATATTTTGTGGTGATATAGTGATATTATTAAGGAATGCAGATGGTGTAGTATTGAGAGATTGTGGTTCTTTGTTACTGTCTTGTAAAGCAGTTTGTTGACTGAAGAAATAGTTCAAAAGATTTGCCTTGTCTTGGTCTGTGTTCGCTTGGGCGGATCGTGTGTTGGTATAAGGTTATCGGTTCCATGATAACCGCCGTATGAACACATCTGCGGATGTTTCTAAATTCAAAATTTTACTATTTCACGTTTAAATGTTGAATTCTGCTTAAGCCGGTGCTAGGGGCGTGGACGGTAACTTGCACTTTCCAGTACCGTCCATGAACAGGCTCAATCAAACCGAGCCTGCAACATTTTCAATTTTGCCGTGTTGGGCTTTCTTTAGGGATTCTGTATTTATCTTTTTTAGAGAGTTTGAGGTTTGTTTATGATATATTAAAATTCGGAAACAAAGTGATCCCTCGGAAGCATTAATCAAAACAAAATTACAAGAGAAATGCAGACTCGGTTTGATTGAGTTTGTACATGAGAGATAATGAATGAATACATGAAACATCCCACACGCCCCCTAGCACCGGCTTGAGCGGTACTCAATTTTCAACACTTAATAGTGCTGGCATCAATGATCCCAAAGGACCAGAAAAATATAACAACACTGAAGTGAAGTACTGGGCAACTTATTACAGCTGCCACACATCACCTGCTGTAAACCAGTTTTTTACCTATTGTGTTATTATTGATTTTGTTTATCTTTTTTTTGTGGCGGTCTTCCTTTGCTTTTTTTTATCTCTTTCGTTACTTCATTACGTTCTTTTCTAAATTTTGACATGTGATAATCTTTATGTCTTGATTTTGCAATTTTGTGGAGACGTGCTCGAGAACGAAACAGTTTTTGAACCATGGAACATCACACGGACGGATAGATACACCATTGTTTGGTATTGTTTCGCTTGCGGCATTACAGATTGTACCTGTAACTTGTTCGGAAAGACGATCGAGGTCATTACAAGATAGTATGTGTTCCCAGTTAGTTTCGTTTCTTAAAATAGTTCTCAAACGATCAAAGTCACCTTTGTCATAGTGCCAGATATGTCTTTGAAAAGACGAATGTATTTGTTTTTTTGTTTTTTTTGTGTTTTAGGACGACTTCTATAGTACAATGATATCTAACTGGATCAGGAATAAAGGGGTCAGCAACAAAGCTTGTAAGGATATGGGTTATATTTTTGATTAGAAAAGATCAATGATGGAACAAAATGTTTCTGTAAAGTGTGTAGTATCTGATATAGTTTGATGCATGTTATAGGAATTAATCACGTTTTGCATTTTCTGGTTGTTTGGGTCGAGTAAGTTGCAATTAAAATCGCCAGTGATGATAATGTTTTCAATGTTTGTGTTATATGCTCTGTCAATGCTCTCTTCTAGTAGCGACCAATAGTGGTTGTTGGCATCGGGGAGTTGTAAAAAGCCACTGATTAAAAGTTTTTGGTTTGTTTTGGGATCCAGATAGCCTCGATGTCAGGTAATGATAAGTCTGGACGGACTCCCCAGAAAGTCCATGTTCAAGATAAATTGCGACTCCACCACCTGTCCTATGTATTCGATCAAAGCGAAAAGGGAACCCAAAATTTGGTATTCTAATATCATCAATTTCGGTCTTTATGTTCAATAACTCTAAATTGTTGTTATACAACCGATCGATACCGCACAGATCGTGCAATACCATTTCTAAAACAACAAACTGATTTTCTTTTTCTAGTTTATTTACAGTAATAACACAAACATAAAATCAAGTTTAGAAGCAAGCATGTGTTCTATACTATCTCACTATAGTCTGGCCTACTCGTGCTGCCCAATTTTATCACTACCGACATTGCAAGACTAGTCGGGTTGTATTAAGAATCCCGTGAAAATAGAATAGTCTGTACCAAAGTAATCGGTAGAAACGCCGTGAACTTCTACAATATCACTTTTGTTCAAACGGAATGTTCCAGATTGTGTTACCGGGGTCGATTCATATTGATATTCGTCGTTAGAATCAGATGGGTCCCAGTGCATTCTCAATTTATTCCCACCATTGATCCTTACAAATGCGTCAATATAAGGCAATATAATTAACTGCTTTGTTAATATAATAGAAAAATGGTAAAGTCCGGGGATTGTACACGTAAATTTCCCCGTGGAGACGTCATAAGCACGACCATCGTTGATGTATACGGATTTGAATTTAAGGGTAGTGTGATCTGGCGAGCTTGTATCTAAGTTATATGCCGTAAATGCCACGTGTAAATCTGAAAGACACATATCAAATACTATGAGTTACAAGATGAAATCGAAGAGATTTACATCCTTAATACATTTCTGTGATTAACAGAATTTATAACATACACACGCAGATTTCACGCCTCCGTAAAACGTTAAGAATCAGGTTGGATTTCGATGTTTACACTTTACCACTCTATAATTTATAAATAATTTTAACGAGGGATACAGGTTTGGGATTTTCTACCTTCTTAAAGGGTATTTGCACCTGCAAACTATTTATATGTTCTTTCTTTTATTCGTTATTTTATTCAAGTTTCGAAAGTGTAGAAGATAAAATTTGAAATTCTTACATAGGTAAGTTGGGATATTTTAAAATAGAAAAATATACTAAAATATTTCGGAAATATATTCAGAAACGAATTGAAAATCATATATATATGCTATTGAGTTTATTGCCAAGTTTGAGTGACACTTTTTAATGTTTTATCATTTTTCCCAACTAGAATAATTATTCTGGGAAAAGAGTGCCAAAATGATCTGAAATGTCATGATCTAGATCAACATCAAATAAAACGTTTATCTCGAACAGTTATTTTCAGTCCCGCCCTGTCAAAGTCGTCAGTGGAGTCCCATTAAAGTAAGGAGTCGCCGGATGAGCATTCGTTATTCACGTCCCGTAACTTTCCTCTAAATAATCGGAAGCAAGGCAGAATAAAGCTGATATTTCTATAATTGTTATTTTCGACTGTCAAATTGTCGTCAACTATCCCGTAGGCGAGATATTGCAGGTATTATTTCATTGGCTAACGTAAAAATATGTATCCAATTTAGCTTATGGAATCGCCAGTAACAAATAACATTCATGACGGTCGATATTTACATTTGAATTTAGACGTTACGTCATGTGACGTTCATCATCATCTGACGTCTGCGAAGGCAGTGATTACAATCTGTAAAGGGATCTAATCACTGTGAGGAGTTTGGAAAGCAATAATAAAATGTTATCGGTTAGAGAATTAAGTGGATTAGTCTATAATGGAAAGTCTGTTATACAATAAATCATTGCGTTGAAAGTATTAAATATCAAACATATCTACAAACCACGAAGTAATTATGTATGTATGGAAGTTGTTGGCATGTGTGAGATACGTATTCCGATAATAGCATATATTTATGTAGAAGATAATAAAATGTTCTAGTAAACAAATAATATTCCCTTTAAAAATGTTCATTTCTTAAACACTAAAAACATTATCAACATTTTTACCAAGCAGTTTTTTATAAGAATATCCAAACGGTAAATTTCTATTGTTTCAATCAATATTTCAACTTTTTTTGAAAGATATGTTTATTGTAAACCTAACGATTATAAGTTAAGGTAAACAAACAAGAATCGGTCATACATGTAATCAATTAGATATTAACACAAGTAAATTTGTTAAGAACATTATAAATTTCGACGGACAAAAATAACAAATACATTAAACAATAGAAAAGTTCAATTTCAGGAAACGATGCGGTGGCTGTACTGTGCTCTGGTAAATTCAATGTTTTATACTGTCGTGAGACGGAGTAAAAACTACCAACACCAGCATTCCATATTTTGTGCCCTCTCTTTTACTTTAAAACTACTTTAAAACTATGACAACTAGATCACTAAAAATATTGACATGGGGTTAGCATTCGTGTCAAGTAATCAAAGCACCTTCACAATAGTCAATATGTTATAGAGGACATGAAGTATCGATTGTTTGACATAAAAATGTAACTTTGACCTTGGGAGTAGTGATCTAGTTGTCATGCTCTGCACGCCATCTCATCTTTTTTACAAGTGATTTAGAAATTTTTTAAGTAGTTTTAAAGTAAAAGAGATGGCACAAAATATGGAATGATGGTGTTAGTAGTTTTTACTCCGTATCACGACAGTATAAAACATTGAATTAACCAGAGCACAGTACAGCCACCGCATCGTTTCCTGAAATTGAACTTTTCTATTGTTTAATGTATTTGTTATTTTTGTCCGTCGAAATTTATGATGTTCTTAACAAATTTACTTGTGTTAATATCTCATTGATTACACGTATGACCGATTCTTGTTTGTTTATCTTAACTTATAATCGTTAGGTTTACAATAAACATATCTTTTAAAAAAAAAAGTTGAAATATTGATTTAAACAATAGAAATTTACCGTTTGGATATTCTTATAAAAAACTGCTTGGTAAAAAAGTTGATAATGTTTTTAGTGATTAAGAAATGAACATTTTTAAAAGGAATATTATTTGTTTACTAGAACATTTTATTATCTTCTACATAAATATATGCTATTATCGGAATACGCATCTCACACATGCCAACAACTTCCATACATACATAATTACTTCGTGGTTTGTAGATATGTTTGATATTTAATACTTTCAACGCAATGATTTATTGTATAACAGACTTTCCATTATAGACTAATCCACTTAATTCTCTAACCGATAACATTTTATTATTGTTTTCCAAACTCCTCACAGTGATTAGCTCCCTTTACAGATTGTAATCACTGCCTTCGCAGACGTCAGATGATGATGAACGTCACATGACGTAACGTCGAAATTCAAATGTAAATATTGACCGTCACATGGAATCTTACGTCAATTTTCTCTTTCTGTTTTATTGTTTAACTTTTCTACCTACGTTCGTTATAATTTATCAAAAAAAGCAAATGTATACAAAATAATGAAAACTAAATTCAAAAGCTAAAAAATAGAAAAATATCAGAAATTCTGATATATCGGACCGTGGTTGCAGAGACCTATGTACTGATTAGGGGAGATCACTGCGTAGGAGATAGATTGTTTTCGTGCTTAAGACAAGTAAATGACAACCTGCGACACAAACAGTTCGCTTTTCGAAACCAGTTAAGTTCAGATCTCACGTTTCTAAGCATGATTTTTGTAGAATTTGATTCATGTCCTGATAGTGTCATATCATATTAAATCTGTTTCTTATAACACCAAAAGACATATATACATATGTATTCGCATTTTAAAAGAAAATAAATTTCATTTCCAATAATTAAAAATATTATTCTTTACTCGTTATTCCTAAACAAACAATAACCACCAATTTATTATAATCATTTAGTTGTATTTACAATTGAATAATGGAAGAGTTAAATAAAATATTGTTTTTGACATGATGAATGAATCATTTTCTAACAAAATCACCAAATGCGACAAATTGTATTGTCATCTAGAGTAAAGAATAAAAGTTACCTGCACAAATATGTTGGTTACACGTTTTCGTTTCCTCTGGACTTCCATCACAATATCTTCCTAATAAAGATGGTCTCGGGTTAGAACATGTTCTTAGCCGACTTTGAATTCCACCTCCACAACTTTCACTGCAAAAACCCCAGTTTTCCCAACTTGACCATCCACCATCTATAAAAGGAGATTCACGATATGTAATAATTCATTTCCATGCTTTAGTTCTGTTTTGAATTTTGAATGAATATCATCACTAGTGAGCAGATGAAATAAAAGGTTGAAAGTAAAACATAAAAAGCAATTGCAAACGTAGGAATAAATAATACGCTATCTACTGCAGTTTATTTTCATTTCCCTTGCTATCTTTCACATAACTTCACAAAACAAGCAGTATTGAACAGTGATATACATGTATGACGTGCTTGTTTATTAGATATACTACCTGCACATGCACCAGGTAAACACAGACTGTCTTCACGTGAATCTCCGAAGCAGTGGTCTCCATATAAACTGGGAAACGGATTAGAACAAGACCTATCTCTGTGCTGCATTCCAACATCACAAGAAACTGAACAAGACGCCCAAGACCCCCAGCTGCTCCAATTTCCGTGCACTGAAAAACAATTTGAGAAATTCCGGCCTCTTAATTACTTCTTACTTTGTCAACTCTTTACCAGGTTTTGAAATATATGGCCTCCATTTCCTCCTGGACGATATCGATAGTTGTTTGGGTTTGCCATGTAAGGCCAAGTAATTAGAGTCTATAATTTAATAATAAATCAAAGATAATGAATTCATAGAAAATAAATGTAACAACATATTAAAGATATTGTAGATAACAAAAGATACGTTGATGGAAAATAATAGACACAGCATATAGTTGTTGTACTTTCCCCCGATATTAAACAACTGTAGAAATACATTAAATAAAGATCTATAAAGTATCTGAATTAAAGTATCTAAATAACAATAGTTACTTCTGTAAAAAAAAATATTTTTATTCTATTAAACTTGTTAATAACATTTGATAGAAAATATAACCTTATATAGAAAAACGCAACAACAATTTAAATATATGTGATGGAAAACATGCAAATTAAACATGCGTTATCATGTGGTTTCCTATATTTGAAAGTCTACATTTATGAAAAATAACACACATATAACATATTTATTCCGAAAAGGTAAGTTTTAGAAGTAAGTATTTGGTAAAAAAAAAACGGCATAGCCTTTTGACCAATTTACTTTGATAAATGCCAACTAGTGAAAACTTATCAATTTAGTGTTTGAAATTATTTTCTAACTATATTGGTTAATAGTTAACCGATTTACCAACGTAATTATGTTACTTAAAAAACTGCAATCCTATTTGATAAAAGTGATTTCAAACAATAAGGTTACAAGGAAGTATTACGCACCTGGGCAAGGATCATTTTGACATTGTTTAGTTTCAGTTACATTTCCAATACAGTCAAGTCCACCATTTGCTGGGGCAGGATTCGTGCAAGTTCTAGTTTTCGTCTGGATGCCTAAGTCGCAGGTGACGTCACAATTTGTCCACGAGGACCAGTCACTCCACTTTCCATCAACTTAATATGATAGTTAGGATAAGTGTTAGGGACGATTTGTTTACACACTTTCCTGGACGATTAAGGTGTTTGTAATTTTAAACATTTTAATTTGCAATATTCAATAAATGGCAAAATTAAAAGTAAATTTAATGTTTTATAATTATAGTGAATGAAATCTGCATTGCGATTTTTTAAAAGCCAATTATTAATTTATCAATTTATTCGACCGGGTCGTATAAACATAAAAAGTATAAAAAAATACAGCATTAGACTGCTGTTATTAGAACGTCAATGCTAACTAGTTTCACTTATTTCAATTTGTGAATGACAATGTTAATGTACGTTAAATTTTATATATCTAGTATCCATTACTAATACATCACTTTATTTAACACTTTATGAAATATAACCAATGCACTTTCAGCGTATGCACCACATCATTGCTGATTTTAAAGTTGTTCTCATTTCCATAGTTCAAAATGTTAATATCAAATCCAAATCGCACTACATAAAGCCTACTTTTTATTGCCAGATTCTAAAAAGTTAACCTCAAATCTTTATCAAACCCTACATATAGACTATTTTTTCCGTAAATGCACATCGTACTCCATCCCGTTTTCATTTTTGAGAGTCCAAAAATCGATTTTATATCATTTTTTTAAATTAAAGCAACAAAATCATACCAAAATGTCAAAATATGTAAGTACAAAATACAGACGTTGTTGAACATTGTTAAGAAAAATACTGATTCTTTTAGACTGGTACACAGCTGTAAAACCTTTACTAGACACGGCTAGAGCCTCGCCCAATATAGTAATGTGAGCTATGTACTACTTGAATGGAATTTGGTATTGTTTACTCTTCAAAACAAATCTACAAGCAAATCCCAATTGCATAAGTACACATGCTGACCAATATTTTTTTCTTGTATACTTTCAGGACTACTAGTCTAAAACCGTTTGAGCTATGTATTAACAAGTCTATAATTTATACTAAGTAAAGGGCAATTACTCTAACAAAACTGAACAAAAAATCCCCAAAAAACAAACAAAACAAAAACACAACAAAAAACACATGCAAGACCTCAGGTACACAGCTTCACAGTAATGTTGATCATTAATTCTGTAAAGGTGGATGATTTCAACTAAAGAACTCACGGTTCACATAACACAACATTTTTGGAATAGTTTTACTAAGTCAAGGGTAAATACTCTACAAAAACTGAAAAAATTCACAATCCAGCCCCCAGGTGCACACCAACTTTCTGTAAAGTTTCATGACGCTGGGTCAAACATTGTTTAAGATCTACACGCTCAAGTTGTAAATTGCAATTTTATTCTTATTCAAGGGCAATGACTCTACAAATACTTAATTAACAACTGGTGCACAACTACACATGCTGACCAACATTCCTATACAGTTTCATGATTCTAGGTCAGATAATTTTTTAGCTATGTGCGACACAAATTGAAAATTAGTAAATTTTACTAAGGCAAGGGCAAATACTAAGTAAATCTACACACAAACATACGTGTACACAACCGCACATGCTGATTAATATTCCTGACAAGTTTCATGACTATAGGTCAAATACTTTACGTGCAACACAATATGGAAATTGCAAATTTTTATGAAGTCATGGGCAAACACTCTACAAATACTGAATAAATCCACACGAAAGCATCCAGCTGCACAATTACACATGCTGATCAACATTCCAGTAAGGTTTCATGACTCTATGTCAAATACTGTTTGAGCTACATGTGACACAAGATGAAAATTGTAAAGTTCAATTAAGTCATGGGCCATTACTCTAAAAACCAAATTGAGCCACGAGCGAAGCCCCGGTTGCAAAACTTCACATGCTGAGCAATATTCCAGTCAGGTTTCATGATCCTAGGTAAAATACCTTTTGAGCTACGTGCAACACCAGTTGAAAATTGCAAAAAATTACAAAGTCAAGGGTAATTAATCTACAAATACTGAATAAATTCACAAACACCAAGGTGCACACCGACACATGCTCAACATTCCTGTGTAGATTCAAGACTTCAGGTCAAATACCGTTTTGAGCTACATGCGACACAAGTTTAAATTCTAAATATTTACTAAGTCATGGGCTCTTACTCAGACAAAACAGGATAAATCCAAAAACGTAACCTCAGGTGCACATTTTCACATGCTGAGCATCATTCCTGTAAAGTTTCATGACCCTTGGTCAAACACCTTTTGAGCTACATACGACACAAAAGAGAACAGACGGATGGAGGGACGGACGGACAAGGGTAAATATGAAATCTCCCCTTTATAGTGGGGCACAATAACTTTTTAATATTATAGTTACTTTAAAAAGAACAATTACCCTCACAGAGACCACAAAACTTTGGACAAACTAGCTTAGCATGTTGGACGTCTGTACATATGTGGAATATTGTACTCATTCGTGCACAGTCAACCGTTGTATCGTCAATGCACACGGAAGCTGCAATTTAAGATTTCTTTGACGGTTGGTTTAGATATTGATCTAAGTTAAATTGTTCTTGATATAACAGAATTGGAATATAAGAGACATTTTAAAACAATAGACAAAAAATTGTTTTTGAATTGATAATTTGATGAACATTCTTACTAGTCAAATATTGGACATCAATGTAATGATCTTTCATGAGATTAAGCTTAGTATGTTTACAAATGAATTAAAAGTAGCCGTACTATTACATAGACAATAAAATGCAAACATAGAAAATGAAATAAAACACTAATAAATACAAATTTTCGCACCACTTTGAAATTAGCGCATGTCATTATCTAAACCATACTAAGCAATATATTTATTCATATTTTCAAAGATGTGTTACAATGAACTTACGTTTTATGTGTTTGCACAAGTCTAAGTTACAACTATCAAAAGAACAACATTCTAGACAACTTGAGGTTTGCCGAAACGTCATATCTCGTCCGACGATACCTATACTGGCACTTCCACCACAACGCTTAAAATCATCATCATGATAATACAAAAAGACTTGTCTATTTTTGAATTAGACAATATCATGTTTAAACATTTAAATTATGAATAACGAGGGCAAAAGCTGAAAGTTTTACGCTGTACATAATCATCAAGAAATACTATTTTATTTAAAGCTATAGTTTTTTCAATCAAAAAACTTATTAGTCTAGCAACTTTTGATTATTATCCCAATCAAACCAAGTCTGCAATTCTCATGTAATTTTGCTGTCTTAATGCTTCCGAGGGATCACTTTTGTCCAGATAAGAACATCCTTATTTATGTATTTACCTGCTATGAGCTTCATGATACACACACATTCGTACTTTTAAACAATCAATTAAGTACAACGAAAGGGTAAATTACACTGTTAACCACCAGTTTTCTTTTAGATGAACGGCAGTGAATTAACTTCGAAAAAAGGGAAAACTATCGTTATCAAACTGTTGCGTACAAGATATAATTACATTTTGACGGCAGATAATGAAAAATATTGAAACTTGCCACTAACCTGGTTATCAGCACATCCCATTTGATATATCCCTTCCTTTACATCCGAGTAGCATACCTAAAACACAACAAAAGAAGTTTTAAACTTGCAATTGTTGACATGGCTGAATAAAGTGAATTATTTTTATCTACAATTATCACATTCGTGGATACATTAGTGAAAGTATAGTGCTATCATAGTAAAATTAATGTTCAAGACGATTCTTTATCAATTTCATAATTATCAGCTACGCATAAAAGAGCATAATTATGCTTCCAAATAAGTCTAAGTATTTCAAGAACTAATGAAAATGTATTCAGATCTTTTTAAGTTTCAAAATACAAATAACAATTAACATGTTACATGAGATTTATGACTGACTTTATAGTATTTATCAGCAAATATTTACTGCGTGTCTAACACAGTAAAGAATATTTTTGCATATTTTGACCTTGTGGTTTGACAATTAAAGTATACTTAAGTGTTGTTTGGAATCTGTAGATTAGTTTCTTTCTTCACGCCATTTTTTTCTTAAATACATGTTCAAAATTTCCATGAAAGTTATCTTGAATCGGATGCATGGCGCCCTAACGTTAAACTATTCAACACGTGACTCCTAAGTAAAACAGAATTTTGATAAACACGTAAAAACGTTTAAATTCAGACTATATTTAACATTTGTATATAACATGCCGGACAGCTATGTAAAGCTAAGCAAATTGAAACCAATTAGGCATTACGCCTCTTGTATCGTCCTATGAAAATAAAATACTACTTATGCAAATGCATTGTTATATTCTATTTTTTTAATCATGCCAGGTCTTGTTTCATGGCAAGTAATTCATTATGTACAATATAATTCAGCCCAAGTTTAATTGTAAATAAGTCAATTTCTTGTGTTAACGTATGATTTTTCTACGGTCAGTATATACCTAATTTTGTCAAATTCGGATACTTACAAGTACAAATTCCGCTGTAATGCAGCAGTTGAGAAATTCCGCGCAAACAAATGCGTGCATTACAGAAATAAAAAATCAATAAAAAAAACAAATGTAAATAAGCCAAATTAAAAACTTTCATCGACTTTATTTTTAGGTATATGTTATTGTCCAACAATATTGGCATGGGACTTTATTAACTTTCACAAAGGTCACTGGATAAACACTGTTATCACACACCCGTGCCGATTTTGCGACTCAGTAAATATGGTATTGCACGGTCGTGCATATATTTAGACGCGACGTCATTAGCGTTATACAAACATACTGTTAAGACGTGCTGAATGTTAGTGTTACACTTCATTACCCTTCCAGATTTGTTCCGCCTTTTTGATTGGATATTGATCACCCGAAAGAAATTGATATTACCGAGTCAGACGGGTAATATTCACCCTAAATTTCCCCGTTGGGTACCCCACGTTCTAAACAACATGCGCTGTGGCGATGCGCGTACGGTTTGATTTTACGCGATTAAAATTCCGATTTACAAGCACTTTTTAACTGTCAAATGATAAATATTTACCAAAATTGAGTAATCATACATATTCTCAACAGTATTGAAAACAAATATGACCTTGTGAAAGCTTGATATTAACTCCAAAAAAGTGCGGCGTTCAACAGACTACACCTTTTCTCTTGTTTACATTCGTTATGTTCGAAAGAAAATACGTCATGTATTTATGTGACGTCATGTAGTGATGAAGGAGTACCCCAAAGGGAATCTTATTTCGACGTTTCGTTTGATGTAGCAATGATTTATTTTAAAATCGTCTTAACTTGGCAGGGGAAGTGTAATAAAATTATTATTTTGGTTTTGGAGTGATACATGTGGATATATTACCTGCCATGATAAAATATCACCCGAGCCTAACGGCACGGGTGATATGAAATCTTGACAGGTAATATATCCACATATATTACTCAAAAACCAAAATAACATATAATAGGCGCGTCAATGAAAAATGACTCTTATTTCACTTTAAATGGTATTTATTTTGGGTATGTGATAAATAGAATATTAAATTCGTGTAATTTTTAACTGAATTTATTGCGCTCGTTGAATAAAACAATATTACGATCGCCATGGCTCGCATAATATATTTTTTCAACTCGTGCAATGAATTCAGTATTGAACTTACACTCATTCAATATCCTCTATTTATCTAACGAATATATCGAGTTATTTATCTTAACCCCTGAAATATGGTGCTTTATCAGTCAAACATATTTCATATTTGTTAAAAATTAATATGAAATATCAATATGAAAGTGGGCGGAGTAAAAACTTATATTTATTTTAAGGGACTTCTTTATAAAGATAATAATAATAATAATAATGATAATAATAATAATAATAATAATAATTAACTCTTTATTTAACGAATGTAGCTTATTAAGACAATTCATCAAAGCATTAAAGATAACATATATAATGCAAAATCTTATTTTCAACAAGGCCTTCAATAAAACATAACAATGGACATATTCAAGCAATTGTAAAGGATTACAACATTCAGTAAATCTTAATCAACAAAGAAGACAGACATAATATTATATTATAGTATAGGTAAATTTTCTATAATTCATCTCTAGATAATAATAAATGATGTTTGAAATGTGATTTAAACAATTTAAGACTTGAAAGCTTTCTTAGTTTTAAAGGAATAGTGTTCCATAACTCCATACTAGAATAATAAAAAGTACGTTTCAAATAATTTGTTTTAGGTCGTTTATGCATAATATTTTTTTATGTGTTGATCTTAGTAAGTTAGTTTTATTTTGAGATAACGGAATTAGATTAGAAATATATGCTGGCGTTAATTCATTCATCGCTTTATATACCATAATTCCAGAAAAGTATTTACATCTAGATGGAAAAGATAACCATTTCATATTTTGATACCTATCAAGATAATTTGTTTTTAAGGGTTTATTTAAAATAATTCTGGCGGTTCTTTTTTGTAATTTTGTTATTCTTTTTAGATCTGATTTGTTACATTGGGACCAAATAATACATCCATAATCAAAAGTAGGGGCAATATAAGCGTTATAAAATAATTGTTTCATTTCAGGTGTAAGAAATATTTGAATTCTTTTCAGCAGAGATATTTTAGAAAAAATAAGCAAGCTTAGAACACGTTTTGTCAATATGTGTTTTCCAAGATAGAGAGTTATCAATATGCAATCTAAGTAGCTTTTGACAATGAACATTATTTATACTCGAAATTCTCAATATGCAGAGAAAGATTGCCTATGTTATATATTTTACATTTTGATCCAATTATCATGCACGTGGTCTTTTCTGGATTTATGGCCATATTATTGAGAGTGCACCATTCCTGTATTTTTAGTAAGTCTAGTTGCAACTCAGACTGTATATTACTCAAACTTTGGTCAGCTATGTGTAATGTTGAATCGTCTGCATACATATCAATGTCTGAATTCGTAGTGACTGATATATCATTTACATATAAAAGAAACAGTATAGGACCTAAGATTGAGCCCTGTGGCACGCCTGATATAACCGGTAAGCTTTCAGATTTATCATTGTTGACTTTTACAATTTGCTCTCTGTTAGAGAGATATGACTGGGAAAATTGTTTTCAGAAAAATGATAAAGTTTTAAATTATGAATCAGTATATTATGGTCAACTAAATCAAAGGCTTTTTTAAAATCTAAAAATACAGCACCTATTATATTTCCATCCTCAATATTCGTAAGCCAAGCATCTATAAGGCGGATCAAAGCCGTTTGGCAAGAATGATGTCTCCGGAAAAAACCTGACTGGTGTTAATTAATGATATTGGTATAATGAAGATAATTATTTAGCTGATTTGCAACATGCCTTTTAAGTATTTTTGAAATGGTTGGGAGAATAGATATTGGCCTATAATTATTGGGGTTTGACTTATCTCCCCCTTTGTGTAAAGGTATAACACGTGCTAGTTTCAGTTTATCTGGGAATATACCTAGTGAAATACATTTTTGTTTGAAAAATCTGTTAAATAATAACCAACTTTTGTTGGATTTTGTTTTGAAAGCTGTCTAAAATGATAGAAGATGGTCTAACTAAGAAAATAAATCCGAACACCAATATCTTTGATTCAGTAATTACCGCTGAACATTACCGCCTTTTTAAGCAACACTAAAAAAAACTTTTTAAATTTATATTTTCAGTTCTAATACTGTTTTACTACAATATCGAAATAATATCTCACATATACTAAAACAACAGATTTGATCTGTATCAGTTTTTATTTAATTTTCACAAAACGGCGCTAATCCGTATGCAGCATATTGACATCATCCTAAGTATACATCTCATTCATAAACGCTGACATTTCAAACATACATACATGATGAAATGGGCACTGATGTAAACACAATACAATCCATTCTAAGACTTAAGATTTTATTGTTGAAAACTTGATAAAATAACTTTTTCTCTTATTATTTCTTTTCTTTAATCATTTCTAAATCTTAGCAACAGTAGAATGAAAAATAGTTATACGAAAATCGGCACCGGAAGTTATTTCAGCTTGAAAAAAAAAACAACATAAGTGATCTTCCTTATTTGTTTTGTTAGAATCGAAACATATCGGTATGAGCGGTGTTTATCGGCTATTTAACACCGGTTTTGTAATTTTGATGCGAGAAATTTAACCACTCAGGCCTACGGCTTTCAAGGTCAATGCCTACGCATCAAAACTCCAAACCGGTGTTAAATAGCCGATAAATACCGCTGAGACCGATATTATGTCTTAATCAATGAATCAATGAATCAATAAATCGACTAAAAAATCTAGTCGATTTTACTGGCAGTGACAGTCGTACTAACAATACAGGCGGTATGAAGAGATTTATAAAAAAAGGAAATAAAGTTGTCAAAATAGGATTCCAACCTACGAGTTTACGTCTAGATTCCTGAAGTGAAAGAACTTTACCGACTACGCCAAGAGGGATTATTAAATTAGACTGTTAATAAAGTGGTTATATACATTTCTATTGATTTAGAAGTAGATTGTTACGTTTACGGCATCAAGCGACTATAATAGGGTCGCAAGAGTGCCAGTTCAATATTGTTGGACGATACATGTTTCGCGGCATGATATGATAAAGGGAGACAAATCGAATACAATCATATGACGAAGGGTGACTACGCATTTGTATTTCTTACATAAGTTCACGTCAAGCTGTATTTAAACAGCAATATACGTCTCTGATCAGTATATTTTTTTGCAGTCCATTTTGCTCGACTAGTTATTTTTAAAATATCTTTTATAAAGCAGTTTCAGACTCAAAACTAAAACTACTTCTATAAATAATTTTTCGGATTTTCTCAATGTTAGATAATCTATTCATAGCTTTCTAATTCACGTAACCAGTCTTGAAAAGCAATAGAAACCATACATTACTCACAAAATAATTAGTTATTTCCTGTAGAAGATACAAATGTAAGAGATAAATTACCGAATTTAAGTTTACTTATTGTTCTCTCTTTTATACTGCATTCCTAGAGGTTGAGGCGTGAAATTTGTTCCCGATCTCATTAAGTGATATGACATGCTGCGAATCACCGAAGGGGAAACCAATTTTTGACTTTACATAATATAAATCGGAACGAATGTTTGGTTCCGAATTTGTTTTAGCAGTAAATCGAAGGCTCCACGGACAAGTTTTTACCTAATTGTCATTAAAAAAGTGTTGTTTTTTATACATTTATATCACAAAATATAAAAGTAAATAAGTATAGTAAAATACGCAATTAAATTGTTTGTAATATTCGTACCTGAGAGTTTTGACATAGTGTCGTTCTGTTGCAGGTATGTGGGTCATCTATGTTCTGACAAGACAAGCAATTAAGGGAATCTTGAAATAAAAAGATAAAATACATCCGACATTTTTCGCAATACCAAAATTCGCGAAATCAACGTTTAGAACAACGATTTTTTTATAGTTTCAGTTTTCTTAAAGTTAAATAATACTATATAGTTAAGATTAAGATTTCGATACCAAAATTAACACAATCTTACATTTCGTACAAAAGTGTTTTTTTTAAGTTCCACGTTATAGAAAAGTTTCATATTTGATCATCCAATCGGCATAACATACTCACTGTGTCATAGAAAGTTATTTGTTCTTCCGTTACACATTTTCAGAACAGGCTAAATTTCGTAAAGTAAATAAATAACAAATACGTGTGTAATAATTAGCATTAATAGAAAAAAAATTACTAAGATTATACTTACGTGAACATTTTAAATTCAAACAAATTGCTACGCAGACAACTACAATGTCTGAAATAGAACACAAGTATAATTCTTATTATTTCGATGCAAATAATTTGTTTATTCCTTAGATACAAATGTTTTATTTTATATCATTATAGAAATGAAATAAAAGATAACTTATAATTGTCGTATTTGTTTTACATTGTGAGATTTAAATTTTATACAAAACAAATAAAATGTTATGTAATATAAAATGAAACAAAAGACTTACTTGACATATCCATTTCACATCATTAAGGCGGCAGTGGAATCTTTGATGCGTCGTTTTTCAGCGCGTCTCTTTTTATAAGAAAAGCGGTGTGCACAATGACGTCAGTAATGCCACATTATAAATGTTTTCGTTCTAGATTTTCAAGGTTATTTATTGTTGAAGGTTGTTCAAACTTTATAATTAATCGGACTTTGCTGATGCCTATTAGTGTGAATGATCTTTTTTGTCCAGCTTTGTGTTTTAGTATATAACAGAAAATAAAGTCTGATCCGAAAATAAAAATATGAAGACTTAAATAACGACATATTGAGAAGACTCGAAATTTTAGTGTTAAAAATCTTCTCTAAGGTATAAAAGCCTAAATACTTGAAATTTGAATTTCTTACACAGATCAAATGGGGGCACTAATAAAAGTAAAAAATACAAAAGATAATTAGAAAATATTCCCCAAAACGAATAGAAAAAAATGCATTTTCAAGCTATTCTTGCGTGAACAGCGTTTCGAAAATTTGGGGTTATTCTTCATAATAGGAATATATTTTTAACAAACAGAGTGAGAAAAAGATCTCAAATTTTGCATACTAGCTTTTGGTCTAGACCTACATCACATAGTACACCAATCTCAAAATATTATATTTCCAGTCTCGTCATTAAAATGCCCCCACTTAGTTGGGACCCTACAATTTGCAAACGTATATAAGATAACCTTTAAAAGGTGATCACGCAATACAAATATGACGAACTTATTCAGACAAAATCGTGTCGGTAATGTTCCTAAAGTTACTTAAAGTTATCTAAATGACCCCGTTCGCTTTTACGACAGCAGAATAACAAAATAATTTGTCTGTAACAGAACTGTTAAAGGCGACCTATCTGTTTATATATGTAAGTACTTTTAAAGTGATGATTAACGTTATGACATTATTTATAACACGTGAAAATGAACACTAGCAAAGCAGTTTAAACCTTTTGATAAAGTATCAAAAACATTGCATTTTTAAGATTTAGTAGTTTTGGAATGTTAAGCTATTTAAAACCAAAAATGATATAAACAATTGAAAGGAAAAACTAACAAAAAAGATATACACTTAGCCCATTAAGTAATATCTTATAGTTTCTACCTTTTTCCTTTTTGGAAACATGCGTTGTTTCTGCACTTATTTATTAAAATTCTAGCAATATGAAATTCCTCGCCAGCCCTAACAACAACTACAACAACAACAATAACAACAACAAAACAACATGAAAAATGTAGACTTTGTTTCATTGTGTTTCTGTTAAGAGATAACGGAAAATCTTATGAATCTCACACCATTATTCAATCATAATCACAAAATTTGCCCTTTCACTGCCATAGGGACGGCTTAAGCCGTCCCTGATATTTTCGGCGTATTTGCCATATGACGGCTTAAGCCGTTTCTATGATAATAATAGTAATAATAATAAATTAATAATAATAATAATAAAATAATAATAAATATAATGAAAATTATACCATCGACAATTATTATTATTATTATAATAACAGATTTGGAAACATATATAATTACTATAATACTAATAACAAATAATAATAATTATATTAAATAATAATATAGTAATTTCTTAGAAAATCCTCTGGCAAATAGGTGAACAATAAAACAATAACCCTCTGGCAGCGAAAGGGTTAAATGAAATATTTCAAATAAAGACGACACTGGATGGAGAATGTGGCGACACTTAACAGTTAACTATCGAAACTTCAAACATGCTATAAAATATCACGTCAAAACCAACAAAGTGGATGCGCAGGCTGGTCTGGATTCATGCTGGTCGCAAAACCCATTATGTTGGTTTTGTCGTGACGCGACTCATTTAGTGAATTTACTACATGTTAAAGGCACCAACGATTAAGAATATTTTCAAGGCTAATTTTTTTCAATGAATATTTTAGAACAAGGATTCTAAAAAATTTGGTGAAATATACCGTAAGGCTACTTCTATATAATCGTGGTGTTAACTCTGTTTACCGTCACCAAGGCAACCTGCTTGACTACGGAGCATATGACGCCATATGCGCCGAGAAGAAAATCGTTATGACCTTTAACTGACTGGAAAATGGACATGTAGACAGACGTCTAAGTCTTTCATATAAATTGTTTAACTTTGATGATGATGTGTGGTCTTAATAGTAATGCCTTTTTTTATATTTTATTACATTTATAAAATAATTTGCTATTAAGTATTCTAGCTGTCCATATAGTCCATTGTCTATACACCTTTTTAATGAGTCATAAACAGCAATAAAGCAAAGGTAAGAAATTGAGGGTTTCAAAACTTAGTACATGGTTACTGACCAATATGTCCCTATTTTTATTTATGTACTAATTTTGTACTATGTCCTTGAGACGTGTTTAAAGGAATCATTTATTCCTGATGATAGCGCCTTGTTTATACAGACTATCTGACCGTGTGTTTAAACAATTGGTGTTATCAAGTGAAACAATGATTTATGCTGATAGCATATAGTTATTTGTATTAATAGTAAACAGGCGTGTTTGTGGACATTGATATTCCTTGTATTATATGTTTGTATATATGTACTCACAAGCATTTGCCTTTTGTTCAATAGAATTATTCATTCAAATTATTCATATACTTTATATATACTGTAAGATTTATTTTCTGAATCAATAAGCAGTTAACATTTGAGTGATATAATGCTTACTTCAATGTATAATTTTATATTGCTTATCATATTCATTACTTTTTCAAACTACAGTAATTGTCAAATTTATCTAATACACAAATGAGAAAGTAATGTTAGTTTTTTTGCAATACTTTTAAATATTATTCGCCCCATAACTTGTTTGATTACAAAGAACGGATACGGCATCTCTGACAAAAATACGATAAAATATTTTAACAGCAAGTAAATGCTGCGCTGTTTTAGTTTATTCTATACAATTTTATCGTGTATCAGTCGACTTAAAACAGCCTCCGGAATAAGTTTGCAAATCCGGAATTTTCGCAAACTCATCTACCTTTTTTAAATTGATTAGAGAAAAAATTTAAAGACCGGTCAATAATAGAGATAGAGTCAAGTAAATCCTGGCCTTTGCAATGACGATACCCTTAAAATTAAATGCAGGGGAGACAATCAAAGTTGGCCGTCCAATGGGGTTTTTCGATTCCCCCATTGGGGATTTGGACCCCCAGTGGGAGTTTAATGGGGTTCCATTTCCTCTTTACGAGAATGGGAGAAAAACATTGCGGGAGAATTAAAAAATTATATACCATTATTTAAAAAAAAAATCACTAATCTTGACTTTAGATATTCCTTCCAAAAATATAGATCGAAATATTAATATTTTTAGAATCTCCAATTATCATTATGGGTAAAAGGCATCTTAATGATGGGAAGAAAATCCTATTTTGATAAATGGGATAAAATCCAATTTCTTATAATGGGAGATAATTCCCATTCTTAATATGGGAAAAATTGATTAAAATTGTCACTAATATTATTATAATAATTACCGAAAATTTACTATTTCCGCGAAAATAAAGTCGAGGCTACGAAAATAAGATTTAATATTTTATAGTGCAAATTTCTGTTTGAATGCGTTTTAATGTGTAATAGTTATTATACTTGCTTTGATTGATTTCATAGCCAATAAAATTTTCATAAATAAAATAATAAAAAAGTGAAGTTGTCCCGAAATACATCATACTTAAATACCTGTAATTCGCGAATATAAAATTGCGGTCACAATAATAATAATAATAATAATAATAATAATAATAATAATAATAATAATAATCATGCAGACCTTATTCATCAAGATCTTATATTCATATAGATCTTATGTATAGATTTTATTTTTGTATGGATCTTAGTGGATCCATACATTCGTACATATCTTAGTTTTGTCGGGAAAAAAATCCCAAACAAAACAAAAATCTGCCTTGTTAGTTAAATTCAAATGAATAAAAAAGTCCAATATATAAGAAGGGGGGATCGTCGGTAAAGTGTGGCGAATTGTCAGTGAAGCGGATCGTTATTGCTCTGCGCCCACAGGCGCGGAGCTATTTGTGTTTACTATTTTTTTGTCCATGGACCCGGATTTGAGCAATAAATCCTTTCGATTAACAGCTAAAAGTAAATCCGCATCCAAGAACTCCTTTCAATTTCTATATTGGTTTCCCCGTCGGTGATTCGCAGCATGTCATATTAATGAATGAGAACCGGAAAACAGTTCTGCTGTTAGATAAATTCGAAAGCTATAAATAGCTGTAGATGTACTTTCGGTTATAAATGTGTTATTTCTCTTTTTTAGTAGTACATGAAATTATAATTTGTTACATCTTGAAATACATTTACACACAGCATATCAAGTATACTATAAGTGATTGAATTTGTCAATATAAAGAAGATTTCAGGCGAAAGATTTTAACAATTTTGCTTTTGATAATTAAATGTAATTTATATTTATGAAATAAAATGTTTAATAATAACATGTTGATATATTGGTTGTTTTGAAATAATTAAACTTTAGTATATAACGTTACATTTCATGCGCGTCTTTAAACCGCCTACCACTTTGTAAAAAAGATAGTGGTATGACTGGTGATATTTATGTTCGACGGGTCCGTAGCGAAAGCTGCATTATGTACTCTTACGAGCAGATGCACCTTCAATAAGGTGTTTCCGCTTTCTCAGCTATGTTTGTTTCACAAAGTTTGTCCAAAGTGAAAGTAGGCCAAAATTCATTTAACAACAAAGCTCACTTTATAAGATAAGCCATTTGCAAGTACACTTCCAATTCTATGTTAAACAAAAATAAAAATGATAACAATAAGAAATTTACCTTGGATGGGCTACATTTCTGAAGACCAAATACATTCTGTTGCAAAGTTTTATGAACATTTCATGAATGGCAAAATCCAGTTTAAAGTCTGTTTTAGTGCAAACTAATGCTATTTTTTGAAGAAAATACAAAAAATAAAAAAATAAAAATCTTAGGAAAGTAGTTTATCTGACCTTGAAAAAACATGGCCTCCATGGCATGTGTAAAAATGTAGTACCATGAAAATAAATATCATTTGTACATGACAAACAGACACA